CCAAAGCCCTATGACCGCTACACCCCAACAAGCTACCCCGTCCACAAAATCGCCAACCTTTAAAGTGCCACCCCATCCCCTACCGAGGCTACCGAGCCGTCCAACCCCTATGCGGATGTTGTCCCCAAAGAAGGGAGATGATCAAAAGTCGCCTCACTATAACGCCTCCGGTGCTGACGCCGAGATCGCTGCCGCTTCGACAACGTCACCTCATCTCCCTGAACCACAACTCGACGAATCCGGATATGCAATTCCCGAAAGGGCATTATCACCGCCCCCTGATGCCCCGCCCACAGAGAAGAAGTGGACCTGGAGGGGCACAACAACTTCGGCCAGTTCAAGGAGCAGAACCCCCACAGACTACGAGGTTGCTGATTACATGATGGAGACGGCGAGGTTGGATGATGCTCGTATCGAGTACAGAGCCGTCGATGACACCCCCAGGATCAGTGAGCGTGTCCTCAGCCCAGTCGAAATGGAGCGCGTACTCAGCCCCGTGCTAAGCCGGGAGCACGAGCTGCAGACGAAACTCCACTATGATGACGACCTCTCCGAAAAGCTCAGAAAATCACTGCAAGAGGCCGAGAGATCGCTGGTCCAACCAAAGGAGAGGGCAGTCGATGTACAACACCGCAAGTTTGAGGCATCATCAAGCGTTTCGTCCACGGATTTTGTGCAGGAGGTGATGTCGAGGAGGAGCTTCAACTTGGATGGAGCACCACATAGAGCTGTGCCGAGTACGGTGACTCCCCCCCTCGACGCCGTTGACCGCGTAGGTTGAAGGTGTTCAAGTTAAGTCGATCTTTTAGGACCATTACATCGACGGTGAATCCCTTGGCTGCGTACGCACGTCAGGAGAGTCATCTGGAGACGCACGATGAACATGCTGAATATGATGAAGTGACGGTGGAAAGGGTGCAGCAACAGAAGGTGGGTGAGAGAGAGGAGAGAAAGAGAATATGTTCCAGATGGAGCCCATCTACTCCGAAGTCGCCAATACCCACAGCCCCGCCAAGCCGAAGCCCATCTTCAAGCCAAAAACCGAACCCACCGAGCAGGGCAGATCCCAGCTTCTCGAAGAGATCCGCAATCGGAAATGGAAACCCGAACCGGTGGTCCTCACCAACTACACGGTACACACCGAACCATCACGACCCACCAAGCCGGTACCCGCGCCACGCAATCATGAATATGACGAGGTGGCCAGGGAGGAGCCAGTGCGACAGGCGTCGCATCGAGAGGTATGTGTTTTAAAGGTGTTAGGAAGCGCCAGATTCGACGTATTTGGTAGACTAAGTCTCGTCAGTGACTGCAGCTCATCCGACGAAACCCCTCTTTTAGGTATTCGGCCATTCCCAACTCTCCGGAACCTACACCTCCACCGTCGAGACACACCTCGGCGAGGAGAACATCTACGAGGAGATTGATCACTATCAAATCGTGCCCGCCCAACAGAACTCTGCGACCTCCCAGAAGACGTCGGCAGCGCCTCCCCCTCCCCCCACCTCGGCCCCACCTCCTCGTGATATGCACCGGGCTCGCGAGGAGTTTGCCCAGCGTCACGATTCGAGTGCTGAGCGGAAGTTTAAGGTAAGTAGGCTTAGGGTTAGAGGGTTTTAAGATGTAATTAAAATTAGTGGACTTCGTTTCGGCTCAGGCTTAGGCCTAGCTTAGCTTTCGCTTAACTTTGGCTTAGCTTGGTCATAAACCTAAATTTCAACCTCTTTTTCAGGGCAACAAGTACGAAGACGAACCAGCCCCCGAACCCACCGAAGATGAACACCTTGACTGGGAGCTAATCTACACGACGAACGCCATCCGCCAGATGAGCCGCAACAACAAGTGGAGGGAGAGCATGCTCAACAAGGACAAAATCCCGCCCGTCCCCAAGAAGACGAAGGAACTCCCCGCCGATGTGCTGCCCAAGAATTCGCCATTTACAAGACCGGCGGAGAGCCCGAGCTCGGGGAGGAAGACGCCGACTTCGTGGACCAAGAATGAGGGCTTCACGTTTTCGGTGCCGGGGATACAGAGAATCGCCGTGGAGGATGAGATGGAAGAGGAGAGGAGCAAGAGAGCAGCGCCAGAAGCCTGGGAGCATGAGCGTGTCGGGGTCAAGCAGGTGCCAACGAATATTGCACGAGGTGAGGGTTTGCTAGAAGCTTGTTCATCTACCGAAAAAGCGGAAATAAATCCATTTAGGTCATCAAATCACGGTGCCGCGAGTGGCCCAACCCAAGGAGGTGGTGGAACCCCAGCCGGTAGATCGTCAACCCACTCACCAAGCCCCTGTTGCTCCTCGACGTGCCACTACGGAAGAATCCTACCACTTCCAAGGTGTCAAGAATTTGCGCCAGCAGTTCTCGTGAGTTTCGAAAAATCCCGACATGTTCAAAACCCCTATTCGAAACGTCGAAATTTCAAAATTTCGAGAAGTAACCAATTTTGGCATTATTAGTTTTAACGTGGTGAATTTCGACATTTAGCAGTTTCAAAATTACGGAAATTTCTACTTTTTGAAATTAATTGTAAGCGAGCTTGACCAGCTCCATTCCAGCTCCCCAGAACCAACGCCATGGCGTCGTACCCAGTCCGTTGGAAACGTGTACGAGGTGCCCAGGGCCAGGCTGGAGAAAACCGATGATGTGAGGACAAGACCTGGGCCTCTGAGTGAGGTTCCGAAGGGGAGACCCAGCTCGACCTCATCGCTGTTGGATAAGGCAACGCCATCGACACCGATTAAGCAACCAGCACGGACCCATCAGGATACTCCGAGGGTCGTCAGGAAGGAGGTCACCTCGCCGCTTCCTCGGATTCAGAGTCCAAGGCCTCGGCCCGTTGATTTGAGCCCGTTGACGGCTGATGCTCAGCAGAGGTATTGAGTTCCTTTCGCTCTCTCTCCCTCGCTCTCTCTCTCTCTCTCTTTCTCTCGCTCTCGCTCCACCACCGATTTTTTTAGATTCTACACCCTACGCTCACCAAGCCCACGAGCCCAAACGACACCAAGCCCACTCGCTAGGTGAGTCTGACTCAAGCTTATAAAACCAAATTATTCAGGTCCGAGGCAGAGCTTCGAATTGGTGACGGCGCACAACCAGACCAGCATTTCCACTCCAAGCCCTCAGAAAGAGACGAGCACGAGGTTCGACACCAGGAGCACCACCCCGAAAAAGGTGAGTGCACGAGTAAAGGAACCAAAGTGGCTTTTCGAAACTATGAGATTCGCAAAAAATTATTACCCGTAATTTAGAAAATCACTACGAGGAGATCGAACACCGTGAAGTTGTCGGGAAGCCTGAAGTGCAGCACCAAAAACCGGTGGAGCATCACTATGATGAGCCTGCCAAGGAAAATGGCCATCACCCGCATGGGCCCGACTACTCACCGTACCCACATCACTACGAACACACCTATGAACCTCATGTACCGTATGGACTGCCGCATCATGGACATCACTACATACAACATCATCATGAAGACGGACGGAGACGTCATGGGGAAAATCGAGAGGATAGAAGATATGTACACTACGGACATCATCATATACAATATCATCATCGGGAACAGGTTCAAGGTAGGGAGAGAGAGAGAGAGAGAGAGAGAGAGTGAGAGTGAGAGATCAAACTTACGCTACTTTACAGATCATCACCATGAAAAGCCTCAACCCCACTACGACCCCTACCATACGAAAACCCGTGACGGAGACCGTTTCGTACTCCTTGAAGCCTCTAATCTCCCTTCCGTATCACCAGCCCCTCCCACAAATCCACCTTCCGACACGAAGCGGAAGCCCAAACAGCCCCCCATCCTCCCCGCCGAGGAGCCCGAGCCAGAATTTGTGAGGACCCAACGCGAACTTTACCGAAAAATAGAGGAAAACCGAAAGACGGCTGAGCAACTAACGAAACAAGAAGCCGAACAACGAAAGGCCGATCGAGCCCTAGCCGAACAGGAGGATAGACGAAGAGAAGAAGAGAGAAGGAGAGCAGATATAGAGAGGAGAATGAGAGAAGAAGCTGAAGAGGAGGAGAGGGTCAGGAGAAAGCGAGAAATGGAGAGGGAGAGGCTGGAGGAAGAGGATAGAGAACGGAGACGAAGAGATGAGGAGAGGAGGAAGAGGGAGGAGGAAGAGGCCAGAGAGGAGGAGGAGAGGAAGAGGAGGCAGATGGAGATCAAGGAGAAGGAGCAGGAGGTGCGACGGCTGGAGTTGGAGCGGCTAAGGGCTATTGAGGTAGGCGAGGAGAGGTCAGAGACCATTGAGGAGAGCTAGCAGAGACCATTGAGGAACGAATCTTATCCTCCAAAATTTTAGACCGAAAAAGAGAATCGTCGGCGGGCGGAGGAGCGTGAGAAGAGGAGAAGGGCCGAGGAAGAGGAGGAGGAGCAGAGACGCCAAGATGTAGAGCGACGAGAGGAGGATGATCGCCTCTGGCAGCTTGAGCAGGAGAGGAAGTATGAAGAGGAGATGAGGAGGAAGCGGGAGGGCAGGACTGCATTCACCGACTTACCGTGATGCCGACATTTCAAGAACCGAGGAGCACATCTACGATCAGGTGTATGAGCCGTTGGAGAGACCGGAGAGAATGGAGAGAATCGAGGAGACAAGAACGCAGCAACGGGTAGGTAGCATTGAAGGGACTGGGAAGGTAGAGCGATGGATTTCATAAGCAGAATTTTGCCATTCCAGCAACATGGCGGGTATCACTTGGAGCACTACGAGGACGAGGAGATTGAGAAGACGGTGATACCGGTGTATGGAGGGCATTTGGTACATGATGGCCGAGATGTGGGTTTGAGAGGGAGCAATGACGGCAAGAATCTTGTAGATGACCGTGTTCCCGATCGCTACAGCGCATCATTACGATGAGGTTCACTACCAGTTGGCTCCTGAGCAACGACCGCCCGGAATTCCGGAGCATATCGACTTGACGTGGGTTTTAGGTGTTGCTCTAACACACGATCTCTCTCTCTCTCTCTCTCTCTCTCTCTCTCTTTCGTCTATTCAATCACTCTTTAGTAATGCCGCAGAGGCAACCGAACACCATCTAAAGTCAGTTTTGCTTCCGCTTTGCATGCGCTGCCTCTCACTCCACCAACTTTTTTGGCCTTCCCCAGATTGCTGAAAATCCCCGATTTTAGGAATGCCGAAGAGGTGACGGTAGAGACGAAGACCAAGGTGGTCACCATCGTCAAGCGCCGGAACGTCACGTAAGAAAAATCGGAAGTCGGTTGAGCAGCAAAATTTAGGGGCGAAATCTTCGAGGAGGAGTATCTGACTGAAAACTCGACGTTTCCGACATCCGTTCATCTGACGACGCCTATTCATCGGCTATATGAGTGGGTTTGGTGAGAAAGAGAGAGGGAGAGTGAGAGAGAGTGAGAGAGAGAGAGGGAGAGAGAGTGAGAAAACGCTTCCAACACTGTTTTCAGCTCCAACACCCCAACGTCACACTACCATACACCCGCCGGGGACCAGGTTCATCTACAAAGAGCTGGTGCTACACTTGGCCGAGGCGCCAGCCCGATCTACGACACCGTATACGAAGGAACGAAGGGCATCGGGTAGGTAGATGGTACCGTAAACGCAACTTGAAAGTCAAAAAAGACCACTAAAAATCGCAACTTTGGACATAGCTACGCGACGATACGCGGCGCGTCCGCTGCGCGTCGAGTTACGCGTAATAAAGGTATCGCAGGAAAATTTTGCATTTTCAAACCCGCCCCTCCTGTCACCATCCCTTTAAGCCATCACCTAAAATCCATTTTTCGACTCCCTTCTGCTACTCGCATTACCATGAATGGGGCGAGGTTCATATTTCGAATGAGCCCTCGGGGGGCACAGAAGCCTCCGTCCACCCCCTCCCCCCCCCCTCCACCCGGGGCCCAGTGAATGTCCCATTTGGGGCCCACGGCCTGGCAGACAACCCTTCTCGCAAATCTGGGTCTTGTCCGGCTATTGATCCCTGGATGTGTGTGGACAAAACCTGCATCCAGTGTCAGCCTTCGATTGCTAAAAATTGTTATTTTCCAAGTGGATGCTTTTTAGCTTTTTTTTGGAATTTGCATCAGTCGATTGATGGCTTCCTGGTTCCTTTAAAGACAGCGGAGAGATATGGTTACGGATTTTGTTGAATCTGTCTGCTCGAGGTTCTTTTTTGCCGCAACCGCGACACGTGAAGCGCAAACTTTCCTGCTTCTTTCCGGTCGTCCCCTTAAAAAGCGATAGAATTATGAGAGAGAGCGAGAGAGAGCGAGAGAGACAGAGAGGGGGAGAGCGAGAGAGAGAGAGAGAGAGAGAGAGAGGGAGAGAAACAGACAGAGAAGAGAGAAAGAAGAGAGAGAAAAGAGCAGGAGAGAGAGAGAGTACAAACTTTTTTTTCATAAATTTTGCAAATATTGATCTACATAAGGAGAAGTAGTATTCCGTGGCGAAACGACATTCCGAAATTTGAGATTCCGCCCTCAGTCGTTTCATTGAAATTTTTCCGCGCCCGTCGGACTCAAGTTTCACCAACTAAAAAAATGACTTTTTCGCAAATTGTCTCTGCGAAGCCAAGTTGGACGTTGAGCTTCAGTCGAAGCCTAAGCGCAGCTATGGCTTAAGCTAAGTAAAGCTAAGCCGGGCGTTGAGCCTCAGCCTCAACCTAAGCAAAGCTTGGCTTAGGCTTCTATGGCTACGCGTAAGCCAATTTCTAAGCCTACGATCATTTTCAGGTTTTGCCCGATTTCCAAGCCTAATCCCAAGCCTAATGCGCTTCAAAAACGCCCCAATTCCGTATTTCCCCCTCTTCCAGCTAGCTTTGCGGGTATGCGGGATCGATCGTTTGTGTGTGTGAGTGTATGGGTCTGTTGGTTGGGGGAATGGCTGGAAGTGAGTCCCTGCCCACTCTCTATCTCTAGCCCCTCCTCCACTCTCTCGCTCTCTCGCCCCCCGCACCCTCCCGAAACATCCTCACTTGTTTACTGCCCCCCTTTTACGCATCCGGCCACCCGGTCGCCTTGGGGCCAACCGGCTAATTTGGGTGTTAGTCGGGTTTTTGGCATGTTTTGGGGCTTACTTTGGCTTACGCTTAAGCTTAGCTTAATGTTAAGCTTTAACCGGTAGCTTTTTGATACCTTTAACGGGCCAGGAGCTTCAGGTTATGGATTTTCCTGTTTTCTAAAGTTTTCCTCGATTTGCTATTTGTTTTAATACCTTAGCTAAAACTAGGATTTTGGTTTAAGTTAGAGCTTCACATATTCGCTTTTTTATACCTTTAGACCGTCGAAAAACGTCAAGATACAGATTTTTGAAGCCTTGACCCGAGTTTTTTTGTTATTTTCCAATTTTCTATCTTGAATTTTGTAGCTTTTTTAGCTCGTTTAACTTTAATTAACCTTAACGAAAGGACGGATGTGACTCGTAGGTGTTTTTTCTAGCTGCATGTCCCTCGAAAAATCTAGATTTTTTTCAGCGAGCTCACTCTAGTTTTCCCGTTTTCTAAATATTGCTCTACTTGGTAAACCCGAAACCTTGTGCTCAAGAAAAATCCAACGAAACCGGTCGATTGTCCGCGATTGGCTTCTTTACGACCTCCCAAAAAAACCGCGACCCCGCAGTGCTCGATTACGGATTCATCGAGTCAGAGCCCGCGAACTGCCCCAGCAGCTGTGCCAGTTTTTCTGGCGATCTCTGCTTCCCTAGCTCTCTCTCGCTTTCTCCCTATCTCGCTCTCTCTCGCTCTCTCTAGCATTCCAAATTTTCCATAACTTGTGATGCGCGTTCTGTTTATTCACCCGTGTGTTCCCGGGGCACGGGTTTTTTTGGCGGATTATTCCGGGCGCTGGTCTGCCAGATAGGTAGAGAGAGAGAGAGAGAGAGAGAGAGAGAGAGAGAGTGAAAGAGAGAGAGTGAGTGAGCTACATTAAGAGAGAGAGTTTTTCGAACGTTTCTCGCTTTACGTTGTCGCCCTCCCTTAAACCCACCAAAGCCCTAGTCCAACCCATTTTTCTGCCCTTTAACCCGAGGGCATGTTCTCGGCTGCTTCTCCTCTAGCTCTTCCTCCCCAAAAAAGGAGGTCCATCCATCGTGGCGACGCCCCGTCGAGGGCAGCCCGACCCTCGAATGCCCCCCCGGGCAGGGAGGGCCAGCCGTTTTCCGGGCGTTTTTTATCCGATTCTCTCTCTAACTCACTCTCTCTCTCTCTCTTTCTCTCTCTCTCTCGCTCTCCCGCTTCCTCTTAAGGCCATCCCCACAACAATGCGCTGCCCCCGAAAAAGCTGGTCACCCGTTTTTCAAATTTTTAGGCCATTCTAAACGAACTAGAAACTAGTCTAGGAATTATACACGGCATGTAATTATTTCCTTAACCATGCGCCCCATGTCACCATCCCTTTAAAACCCGGAGACGCGTGTTCAGGGGGGAAGAATGTCGATACCAATGTTTATTCTCTGCCTTCCTCTTCCTTCCCTTTTCTTCCCTTCGACCCACGACCACACGATTCTTGTCTCCCCCCACGCAACCGAACGACTCCGAATTTTTCAGGGGGTGTTTATCTCTTCTTACTTGATGCTTGGCTTGTAAAGCTTAAATTTTTCGTTTCGCTTAAAAGCTAATTTCTGAAACCTAACTTCCTTAACTCCGAAAATTCGTTTTTGGAAGTGCTTCTCCAAGCACCTTTGCAAATTCAGGTTCAATATTCCTCAAAAAATCCTGCTAGCTTGCCAGATAGTTCGTAAATGGACCAGAACGCTCTCCGCTCTCCCTCTCTCTCGCTCTCACTCTCGCTATCTCTCGCTCTTTGTCTCAAAATTTTTACACGCACTTTCTTTGCTTGGTAGATTCATAAAAATCTTTCCAGCTCCGGCGCCCTCCCGAACGCTTCCAACTCGGCGCCGCCGCCCCCAGAAGAGCTGGTAGAAAAGAGGTATGTTGGAGAGTGAGAGAGAGAGAGAGAGAGAGAGTTAGAGTGAGAGACAGATACAGTCAGATTGAGAAACCGAAATCCAAACTTCAGGGACCAACCGCAGTACCGCTCAGTTGGGACCAGCCACAGCCCACCACACCAAGACGCTCCGGTAGGTCTTGGAACGGAATTCTACCAAGATTTCTAGCAAAGAGGTCATATCAATCACTTTCAAGGGATCCCCCACCGGCACATACTTTGACCGTAACGGTGAGCTGCGACGGTCGTGGCCGGTGAAGACGTACGACGGCAGTCATCTAGAGCTTGGCTCACATAAGTATCGGCTGAAGACGATGCCAGATCACGATTCTGGTGAGTGAAAGAGAGAAAGAGAGAGAGAGAGGGAGAGAGAGAGAGTGAGAGAGGGAGAGAGAGCGAGCGAGAGAGATAATTCAATTCATGCTATTATAGGTCTTGGCAGCGGTGAGCGCCCGAGTCCCGAACGGAATGGCGACGAGACGGCAGCGTTGCGAGATTGGGACCCGAAAGCTATGCTTGACGCCCTTTACGAGGTTGGTTTTTCTGGCTTTCGTTCTCTATTTCTATCGCTCATTTTATTCTATCGATCTCACTCGCTCGCTCTCTCTCCTTAACACTCGATGCCGCTCTTTCTCTCTAGCTCCCTCTCTCTATCTCTCGCTTTTCCATCTCTTTCTCTCGCTCTCTCTCTCTCTTTTCTCTCTCTCGCTCTCTCTCGCTCTCTACCCCGCTCTCTACCGTCTTAATCCGAAAAACCTATTTTTTTCCAGATTTCTTACGAGCGTCGCGCCGAAACAAAACGGGACCGTTTCGTGAATATGCAGGGTCACGTCGAGGTCCCTTCAGATGAGACAGCCACCGTCGCCGAGCTGGAACGGAATTGGAAGGAGGAATACATGAGGACGAAGGACGGACGGTTGCAGACATTTGTGGTAAGCAATCGTCTCATTCCTAAGAATCCCGAATCAGACTCACTACGCGGGTGAGGCTCCGGTGCAGGATGTCTCCCTACACGGTGTCGAGATCGAGGCGAACAGAGAGGAGCGAACTTTGCACATCCACGGCGGCAAGGAGCATATTAAGATCTTGTTGAGGTCGGTTTGGGAAGAAGCTTTAAAATTCTGTATCAAGGCCGAGAAGAGTCGAAAATTAAAATTTTTTATCGCGTTTGAAAGGCCAGAAAAAGGCGAGTTTTTGTATATTTTGAACGTTATTTTAGTTACTAAGCGCTCCATATTCCAGCAATTTTCATAAATTATGTTTTACGCATCGAATTAAAAAATTTTGGAATTGCTATTTAGAGCAAATTATCCCAAAAATTCGCGTTTTTTTCACGCTTTATATAACCACGCATTTTGACAAACATATTAGTTTTTGTTTACGGAAATACTCGCCTATTCTTGAGCTTTCGAATGGTGTAAAAATTACTTTGATCGGACGATTCTGACCCGAGATATGGAGTAGTATTTGGAAGGCCTCTGTGCGCACGTCATATGCGTGTTCAGAGGAGCCCTATGTAGTCTTCCCCAATACGCAGCGCTCCTCTAGCCAACTTACCTGGATGTGTTTACCATCTAGATTCTAGAATCAAAAAGTGCGACACGGCCGAGACGTTCGACAAGTGGCGCCAGGCGCTGCTCTCCCACGCCGCCGCCTCGAACCTCGACCAGTTCGTGACGCCGGTCAGGCGGGCGTTGCCCCATATCTCGAAGGTATCGGCTTGGCGGGGTTGAGCATGATCATCTACCATTTTCAGAGGATAGTCATCCTGGAGCTGGGCTCGACGTCGATCCGAGCCGGAGTTCTGTATCAGAAACCCCTCCTTCCACAGGTCTTCTTCCCGGCGATTGGATGTATACTCGACAACGGGCAGATCGTTGTCGGAAATCAAGCTTATGAGCCGGAGGTTCGTCACAGGGTGTACTGCTTGAACTTGATGGATCCAATCCTATCTCTAACTAACAACTATTTTTCAGAATCGACAACGTGGTGAGCTGGTGCGACCTATTCAGTGCGATCCGTCGGTGGAAAGGTATGGATTATTACTGGTGTTCTGCTGGCTCTCCTCAATGGTCCCTGCTAGCTCTCTCCTTCCTAGGACTTTGCGCTAAAACTCGTCTTTCAGGTACTCGATGGATAAAGAAGTCACGAAGGCCTGCATCGAGCGGGCAATCCGTGATCTCGGTGTTGATCCAAGGGAGCACCACGTCCTTCTCTCACTCCCCCCAGAACATCCCGACGTCGGTGATTGGAGATCTTCTGCATACGCTTCTACAACAGTTCCACTTCAAGGTAAGGAGCGAGAGAGCGAGAGAGGGGGAGAGAGAGAGAAATTGCCTTCATTCCTATGCCTTCATTTCCAGGCCGCCGGGATCACCCGCCAACCCTCCTTAATCCTCTACGCCTACGACGTAACGACAGGAGTAGTCGTCGACATTGGCGACCGCTTGAACATTGTCCCTGTCATCGACGGCTACATGGTCGAATCAGCCGTCGTCTCGATCCCAATGGGTGCCCAACAGATTCGAGACTCGCTGAGGACGTCGCTGGCCTCGCACAACAACGTGGGTCCCAAAAAACAACCTCGGAATCTCGGATTTCAGGGTCTCTTCTCGTTCCAAACGCCGTGCGAGCGGTTGATTCTGCGATACGTGATGGAGCATGTAAGTGGAGATCTTGGCTTCAGAGAAGTTTGGCGTTTAGTCCGCGTACGTGCCGGAGAACTACGAGACGGAGAGCGGGGAGAAGAAGAGCATCTCGCTGACGCCGTTCAAGCCAACGTCGAGTATGCCGAGGGAATTTGAGGTGAGAGGAGAGAGACAGAAAGAGGAAGAGAGAGCGAGAGCGAGAGAGAGCGAGAGAGAGACAGAGCGAGAGAGAGACAGAGATAAACTTCACAACCGATTTCCAGATCGACAGCTCTCGCTTCACATGCACCGAGGGTCTGTTCCGCCCCAAAAAGTGGCAGCTCGAGTCGAAGGGCATCCACCACCTCATCCACGACGCCGTCACCCAATCACCCATCGACAGCCGCCGTAACTTGTACAAGTACGGAACCAAAACCATTGCAATCTCAATCTTTTTCTCAGGAACATCTACCTGGCCGGTGGCGCCTCCCTGTTGCCCGGGTTGGCGGAGAAGGTGGAGACCGAACTGGAGACGGTGCTGCCGAACACAATCAACGCCCAGGTGCACATCTCACCGTGGCGGTATCACGCGGCGTTCCTCGGGGCACAGGTGAGCGCGAATTGTTTATTTTCTGGCTGGATAGGTCCTTGAAAATTGGGTACAGGCGTGCTGCGTTGCAGGCGCGTAGCGTGTATCAGCCATGACACTGCAAGGTCATCCTAGCGCGTCCGCACCGCGCAAGCGACGCTTTTATCTAGCTAGCTGGTCGTGTCGTTTTTGAAGCGATGGACAAAGCCGAAGCGCCCGCGCCGCGACAGAGCCTGCACTTGACGCTCCCGCTAGGATTTTCCTGATCATTCCCGCATCTGCTGCAATTGAACGCGTTGCGGGCGCGTCGCGTCAATTTTGACCGCGACGTATTCGCTAAGCATTTTGCCGTACAAATCCGAGACGCGGGTGCGCTCTATGCGTTAGTAGAAGCTTCTTCTTCTCGTTTAAAACGTAGAGGGTGCGTTGCGGACGCGGCGCGGCTTTCTGTGTTGCGGATGCGTCATGACTTTCGACGTTGCGGACGCGTCACGGGTTTCGGGGTTGCGGACGGCTGGTAAAGATTACGCGACGCGGCCGTTGCGCCTTTCGCAAGAATATTGTTACGCGCGATGCACCCGCTGTTTTGGAGAGGTGAATTCTGCCGTAAATATCGCTCTCTTCGGAAAGTAACCGACGCGTCGCGTCGGGCTAGGATAGAACACGCGACGCTTTGCTCCAGCAAATTGCGCTAGCCGCTTTTTAAACCAATTTTTGCAGGTAGTCGCCGCGGGAGCCTCGTTCGAAGATTCCTGCATCGGCCCCCAGCAGCTTCAACAGTTCCTCACCCAGCTCCAAGCCACCGGATTCTAAAAGTCACCTTCTTTTTCTCTGTACCCTCTGCTATCTCTCCCTGCTTTGCTACCCATTTAAAATTCCGAAATCCCCCATTCGAAATTCCCCCAAGTGCAATTTGTTGTGGCCCGTAGTCGCCCCCTGCTATCCCCCTAGTCCGTATGGGTCACCCATATCTTTTTAAAGGGAGCGTGCCAGCATTTTGGCCACGCCCCTTTTAACGTCAAACTATCAATGTCAACTGCCCGCAATTCAAAAATTCCAGTTTTCAAGTAGCTTTAAAAATTTCTGAATTTTATGCCCCAGCCGCTTGCGCCTTATCTTGGATACCGTATACTAGCGTACTACCGTACCCCAGAAACGTACCCACCCCACTATGATGATCATCTCCAGTAGCCCTTGGAACGAGGCTTAGGCTTGGCTTAGGCTTGGCTTAGCCTCCACCTTCCCCTTCCCACTACCGACGCAATGTGATATCCGTCCCGAAAAGCTTGTTCATCTACTACTCCATGATTTCAAATCTCCCTAAAAAGGGGCGTGGTTTTTGAGCGGAATTTGCTGCATAGCGGAACATCGTTCAGAATTTGCCGGAAACCCGCGTTAAAACCATGCCCCTCATTTCCCTTTGGTCCTCACTTCAACTAGGGCCAGTTAAAGGTTTTGGCTAATTTCCTATCTAATTCTCTGTCGTTTGATTTTTTGGATAAATTGTATCTATTACTGTAAGGTACTTTTATATAGAAACAGAATATCTAAAATAAGCTTTTAAAATAAAATTTCACCCAAAATTTAAAAAAATTTGGAAGTTTAGCCGATTGGTTGTGCGCTAGCTTTTCGCTCGCATGACCCGAGTTCGGCCCTCGTCCGGTGCGGAATTTGCTTTTTTACAAGAACCCTCAAAACTAGCTATTTTAAAGGAACCGGGAAGCCTGGCCGAATTCTTTCGTCGCTCGGGCTCTTGGCCGATTGGTTGTGTGCTAGCTTGCCAAGCACAACACCAGAGTTCGACCCCGTCCCCCAAACCCTCGTAAAGTCCCTCCCAGAAAAAGTAGAATGGGTGGTTGAGTCATGACAAGTCAAAGTCCACACTCGGATGGGGGATGGTCCCGAGTGGAAACAGATGTGAAGCTATGGGGTTTCCGCCTCCGCCCCAGCTACCAGAGCTACCAATTGACGTCGATAATCTTCTATTTTAATTAAATTCCTGTATTTCATTGAGATTTTTCAGCTATTAGTAGATTTCGATACCTACCGTATCCTGAATTACCATCACTTCATGGGGATCGTACCTATTGATCCTATGGTAAGCTAGCAGAGACCATTGAGGAGAGCTAGCAGAGACCATTGAGGAGAGCTAGCAGAGACCATTGAGGGGAGCTAGCAGAGCCCATTGAGGAGAGCTAGCAGAGACTATTGAGGGGAGCTAGCAGAGACCATTGAGGAGAGCTAGCAGAGACCATTGAGGGGAGCTAGCAGAGACCATTGAGGAGAGCTAGCAGAGACCATTGAGGAGAGCTAGCAGAGACTATTGAGGGGAGCTAGCAGAGACCATTGAGGAGAGCTAGCAGAGACCATTGAGGGGAGCTAGCAGAGACCATTGAGGAGAGCTAGCAGAGACCATTGAGGGGAGCTAGCAGAGACCATTGAGGAGAGCTAGCAGAGACCATTGAGGGGAGCTAGCAGAGACCATTGAGGAGAGCTAGCAGAGACCATTGAGGAGAGCTAGCAGAGACTATTGAGGGGAGCTAGCAGAGACCATTGAGGAGAGCTAGCAGAGACCATTGAGGGAGCTAGCAGAGACCATTGAGGAGAGCTAGCAGAGACCATTGAGGGGAGCTAGCAGAGACCATTGAGGAGAGCTAGCAGAGACCATTGAGGAGAGCTAGCAGAGACCATTGAGGAGAGCTAGCAGAGACCATTGAGGAAAGCTAGCAGAGACTATTGAGGGGAGCTAGCAGAGACCATTGAGGAGAGCTAGCAGAGACTATTGAGGGGAGCTAGCAGAGACCATTGAGGAGAGCTAGCAGAGACCATTGAGGGGAGCTAGCAGAGACCATTGAGGAGAGCTAGCAGAGACCATTGAGGAGAGCTAGCAGAGACCATTGGGGAGAGCTAGCAGAGACCATTGAGGAAAGCTAGCAGAGACTATTGAGGGGAGCTAGCAGAGACCATTGAGGAGAGCTAGCAGAGACCATTGAGGAGAGCTAGCAGAGACCATTGAGGAGAGCTAGCAGAGGCCATTGAGGAGAGCTAGCAGAGACCATTGGGGAGAGCTAGCAGTGACCATTGAGGAGAGCTAGCAGAGACTATTGAGCAGAGCTATTAGAGACCATTTAAGAACCCGTACTTTTCAATCCCTTTAAACCGCCCTTCTTTTCTGCAGGTTTCGTCGCCAGGTTGGCTCCCAGGAAGGGCATTTCAATGGGGGGTTTCGATGTATCGTCCGAAAGGGATGGATAGGTGTGTCGCGTAGCCAAAGGTGAGTGGGGGGTGTTTGGAGGGCGGAAAGAAGGTCCCGAGGCCGTGTCTTCGCAGGCGGCTGCCTTCTCGGATCGCCGCTTTTATTGCCCATAAATGTAAATGGAAGCGAGGCGGAGAGAGAGAGAGAGAGAGAGAGAGAGAGAGAGCGAGAGAGAGAGAGAGAGAGAGAGAGAGAGAGAGCGAGAGAGATACAGAATGAGGACGACGACCACCGCCCGTTGAGGGCACATCGATCTCTCGCCGTCCCTCACCACAACCATCAGCCCCTCTGAAATACCGTAGCCGGGTGGTGGCTGGCCGGTGTGTATGTTCGCGGTTCTTCCAACATTTCGACATTTTAACGGCCTTGTTTTCGTGTTTCTGTTGGATTTCTGACGATTTTCAGGTGTTTTTGCCTTTTTGGAGAGATCCGCATTCCGGAACATTATTTTTTACTTTGGTGGATATGCATTCCTTATGCCTTTTCCCCGGTACCCGAGCTACGCGACACGCACGCCGATTGGCTTACCAAAATGGATCGTAATTTCTTACGTTAGGTAACATCCCGCGGTCGCGTTGTGTCTTTCGGGTCGGGTCAAATCCGTCGAAAATCCGCCGTTATACCTTGCAGGTCCCTTTAATGCGGACAAAAACTTGCAGAAATCTTTCCATTACGTAACGGATTAGTTCTTTACTGAATTTGTTTGTTTGATTTCGCCCATTTTGTTCCAATCGAAAATTTTTAAGGGATCGGCAAGGCATCCCCAGACTTGATAGCCATGGATATCCTACCAATTTTTCGAAGGCCTTTCCGATTTTCGGACGCGTCCTATTTGTCTGATTTTTTTTTTGATTGATCGGCTTTTAAATTAACGATAATCGATTACGCGGCGAAGGTCAGGGCTTGCTCGTTCCGGTCGATGCAGAATCCGTAGCCATCCCTTCCACGTATCTTTAATGTGAAATTCTTCGCGTTTGGTCAATTCCCAATCGCTTTAGTCTTTTAAAGTCTTCCCCTATCAATAATCCCCCATCCCCGACAGTTTTTCCGTTTCCGGCAGCCGATTCTAATTTATTGCGCAGCTCGCCGGGCAACGGAGGTGGGGGCTACCCGTAATTTATGTGCACGCGTAGTCAATCGGGTATGGAACGCTGCCTTTTTGGTGTCTTTTTCGGGGGTTAGCAGTATCTTTTGTCGCTATACTCAATAATAGCCGTGATTCAGACGGCGCGTCAGCTATTTTTCGTGCTTTCTACCATTTCCGGCTGATGTCGAAAACGCAATTTGTGCGTCTATCGTGGTTGTTTTTTTTCGGGTTTTTAAAAGGAAAGCGCTAAACATAAGCTTAGGCTTGAGCCTAAGCCCAAGCCTAAGCCTAACTGCAGCCTAGGCCTAAGCCAAATCCTAGCCAAGCCAAGCCAAGCCTAAGCCTAAGCTCAACCTAAGCCTAAACCTAAACCGAAGCCTAAGCCTAAGACAGGCACAAGCCTAAGCCTAAACCGAATAATCCTAAGCCAAGTCCAAGCTGAAGCCCAACCCAAGCCAAGCCCAAGCCTCGCAACAAGCTTAATTTTGCAACGGTGAGCTGTTGCTTCGGCTTTCTTGATCGTTTCTGCCAAACTTTGCGTGAAAAAACCCGGCTCGACGTAAAGGGCTTGACCCTACGCGTCTATACGCTTCCGAACGCTTGTTTTTACGCCCAAAATATCCTCCATCTTTTTCCAAAGGAAGTATTCGAACGAATTTTTTCGATTTTTCCATCCGAAATTCTGCGTTTTACGTTTTTCAATCTCAAGACTACAATATCTACAACAGTACCAATTCCCAAATTTCAAAACCCATTTCAGCCGCCGCTATCGCGAACCACGGCCCGTTCCGCGACGCTCCACGTTCCGGGGCCCCCGAAAGCAGTAGCCAAGTGTGCCATGTGGTGGCTGCTGGCCCTGCTCGGCGCGCCCCTTCTGCTCGCCCAGCCGCCCGATATACCGTATAATTGGCTGTACGTCTCCGCGTCGTCGATCGAATGTTTTATTATACATTTCCAGGTCTCTAGCCGCGCTTTCCTCTCCAGAGAGTCTCCCATCGACGCGTGCCGTCGATTTGTCCGGCCATTCGGCGGCACTTTGCCAACGGCTACTCGGGTTGAACCCCGTGCAAAAGCAACTGTGTACGGAGGTGAGGCTTAGGCTTGTCTTGGCTTGGTTTAGGCTTGGGCTTAGCTTGAGCTAAGCTTAGTTTTTAGGCTTAGGCATATTCCTGGCTTTAACTTCTTTATCTTCGATCCATTTTAGAACCCACTCATCATCCAGTACGTGGCGCGCGGCATCCGGGAAGCCCTCTACCATTGTCAGGATCAGTTCAAGAACGAGAGGTTGAGCTTGTTGGCTTAAGTTTGAACTTCGCTGCTTCAGGTGGAACTGCTCGGATCGTCATGAGGTCATCACGACTCCGCATGGGGAATTCAGGGATATTCTGGGAAAGACGTTGAGATCAGGTTCGTCGAGTTGTCCTTAATGGTCTCTGCTAGCTCTCCTCAATGGTCTCTGCTAGCTCTCCTCAATGGTCTCTGCTAGCTCTCCTCAATGGTCTCTGCTAGCTCTCCTCAATAGCCTTTGCTAGCTCTCCTCAATAGCCTTTGCTAGCTCTCCTCAATGATCTCTGCCAGCTCTCCCCGGCTCAAAAACCTTGGCTCAAAAACCTGTAGTAAATGGTCATTTCCAGCAAGCCGCGAGGGTGCTTTTTTGACCGCTATCGCGACGGCCGGCATCGTCTACGAGGTGACGAAGGGGTGCAGCACGGGCAATCTCTCGCAGTGCGGATGCGACAGTCAGCCAGACATCCAGAAATACATCGACACGGTAGGAATAAATCTCGATCAATTGTGAGCGTGGTACGGGAGAAAACGGAGCGTTATTTAGGACGTGCACAACGAACCGAGAAGCCATCCGGCCGCCGGGCACCATCGCCTGAACCAACGATCCCTGAACACTTTTTCGTGGGGAGGATGCTCGGATAATGTGCCGTACGGCGTGAAATTCACGAGGGAGTGAGTTCTTAACGGATCTTGGTTGGTTACCTTAACTGCTATGTCACTGCGGTTTTTCGTGCACATTTTTGAAATCGCTGATATGAAAGTTTATTTTTCAAAAGTTAGATTTAACTTCGGGAAGCAGGGATTTCGTAAAAATTTACAATGCGTTTTCCTTTTCATCTTGTTCTTGTTGTGGCTGCAAATTTTCGATGTCTGATTTCCGAAGTGGGTTTCGAAAAAGTGTTTTTATTTCGAAAAACCTTAAAAGCTCGAAACAAACTTTCCTCCCCCCTTTTGGCTTAAAGAGTTTTTTTCTCTCTGCTACCTCTCCTCCATGGTCTCTGCTAGCTCTCCTCAATGGTCTCTGCTAGCTCTCCCCAATGGTCTCTGCTAGCTCTCCTCAATGGTCTCTGCTAGCTCTCCTCAATGGTCTCTGCTAGCTCTCCTCAATGGTCTCTGCTAGCTCTCCCCAATGGTCTCTGCTAGCTCTCCTCAATGGTCTCTGCTAGCTCTCCTTAATGATCTCTGCTAGCTCTCCTCAATGGTCTCTGCTAGCTCTCCTCAATGGCCTCTGCTAGCTCTCCTCAATGGTCTCTGCTAGCTCTCCTTAATGATCTCTGCTAGCTCTCCTCAATGGTCTCTGCTAGCTCTCCTCAATGGTCTCTGCTGGCTTGCCTAAAGTGTCTCCGCCAGCCAAGGAAGTTATTTTTCAGATTCCTTGACAAATTCGAGACACAACAATTCGAGAACCTTGACCAAGACGTTCGCCGTCTCGTCCATAAACACAACTTCTTTGTGGGCCGAGAGGTAGATTACCAATAACGCCTTGGTCTTTATCCCCCCAATTTACAGCAAATCGCGCAAAACATCAAGCGCACTTGCCGGTGCCACGGCGTTTCCGGCAGCTGTGAATTCAAGACGTGCTGGCTGTCGATGCCGAAATTCGGCGAGGTGGCGGAGATGCTGAAGAAGCGCTACCAGCACTTTGCCGTCCAGGTGGCCGATGAACCCTCAGCACCTCCACCACCACTACCACCACCACATTCACCACTCGCCCCCACCGCCGCAAACAATACTGTACGCGACGCACCTAACAACGAAAGCACCTAAAGGGGTTTACATGTCTGATATCCTGGCAAATAGCCAGATGTGTCCGCAATGCGACCGCGTTTTAGCTGCGTTTTAGAGGTCAAAAATCGTTAATTTCCAAACTCTCACCTAATTTCTGGGATCAGCAAATTTTAATGATCCTAGCTGCTGTAGTTATTATAATTCATCGGGGCATGTATGGAGTGCCGTAATGGCCATTACAACATGTAAAAGGTCCTCTCAAAAATTTTATTTCGCCCCGAAAACATCTAGTTTTTCTCAGATATTTTACGTTTTTTTCGCAAAGAAATCATTTTGGTATATTCTTCGACACTAACCCTTGGGTTTTTGATCGGTTAGTTCGATCCGCGCACACCTGTATTTTCGCTTCCTAGTCCGTTAACGCGGGGTTCCGTATGGTCTTGCCCATTTTTGCAGTATTTTTCTGCAAATTTTTGAACAGTTTGCTGTACAGTGTTTTAATGAACATTCAGAAATTACGACTTAAATCCCTTCGGATTATCCTCCGACTGGTTACCCTGCAGCACTAGCACGGTTCTTATTTCCAAAGAATGGCAGGCGGAAGGATTCCTGTGGATTTTGCTACATCCGCACCTTTCCAAGTCCCTTTAATTTTTCATTTAGGTGGCAAAACGCGTGAAGAAGCGCCTAAGAAGAAAGGAGCGGGGCGAGCGAGCGGTGAGTCCTTTGTTAAAGTGCGGAAAAAATTCTAGCAGATGCCGATCCGGGGCAACGAGCTCGCCTTTCTTCAGAAATCGCCCTCATACTGTGAACGGAATGATACGCTCGGTGGGTGTTTATTAATGCTGGAAACTGGCCTGAAAGAACCATGCTAGCTCTCCTCAATGGTCTCTGCTAGCTCTCCTCAATGGTCTCTGCTAGCTCTCCTCAATGGTCTCTGCTAGCTCTCCTCAATGGTCTCTGCTAGCTCTCCTCAATGGTCTCTGCTAGCTCTCCTCAATGGTCTCTGCTAGCTCTCCTCAATGGTCTCTGCTAGCTCTCCTCAATGGTCTCTGCTAGCTCTCCTCAATGGTCTCTGCTAGCTCTCCTCAATGGTCTCTGCTAGCTCTCCTCAATGGTCTCTGCTAGCTCTCCTCAATGGTCTCTGCTAGCTCTCCTCAATGGTCTCTGCTAGCTCTCCCCAATGGTCTTTGCTAGCTCTCCTCAATGGTCTCTGCTAGCTCGCCCCTCGTCGAATTTCATACTTCCAGGTATCCTCGGCACTCTCGGCCGAGAATGTGTCCATCGGTCCCACAACGCCGACGACTGTGATCTGCTGTGCTGTGGAAGAGGGTACGGTAGCCGGGTCATCGTATAGATCTGACTTTTTTTCAGCTACAACACCCGCAGCGAGCGCAAGAAGACGCAATGCCAGTGTAAATTTGTCTGGTGTTGTCAGGTGTGTGGAAAATCAGGCAAAATAGCATTTTAATTGCGTTTTGAATTTTATTTAGCTAAAACAAGAGGTTAGAATTGTTGGATTTGAAAATCCTAGTTTACAATTGAGTCATTTTGCTCTAAAAGTCGAATTTTTCAGGTGAAATGCAAGGAGTGCATCGACGACGTCACCGTCCACACGTGCAAGTGATTCGAAAACCACGGAAAATCTTTTGATTTAGTTATCTATCGCTTTTCCGCTTTGACTCTCTCGCTTTCTGGCTCTCTCTCTCTCTCTCTCTCTCTCTCTCTCTCGCTTTCTCTCGTTTTCGCTCTCTCACTCTCTCTCTAACTCACTTACTCTCGCTCTGACTGATTGTTTCTCGCTTTTCTTTCGCATTCTCTCTCTCTCGCTCTCTCTCACTCTCGCCTCCCAAAAAGCACGAATCTCACCCAGACAGCTTTAGCCTTCCCCCCCCTCGCTCCTTCTCCCCCCATTACATTGACCTCACCAGCCCCCAAAATTTGCATAATAATGGATACCGCAGATTCTTGGCCCGCCCCCCCCTTTTTCAGCCTTCAAAAAGTGCCTGTTCTCCGCACAATAAAGTGAAACGAGTTTAGCTTGTAGTTCGGGCTTAGTCTTCAATAATACTTTATTAAATACACATAAAATACAACCCGACGCGGAATTGGGATTAAAAATGGGAGAAAAAGGAGACTTTTTGTATCGATAATCAGCTTTAAAGGAACTGGCAACTTCCGAAAAAAACTTTATTAGCTTTGAGTTTGCTCGCGTAATGTGTTTTATTGGGATTTTTGATAGGATTTAATGGCGTACTCATTCAAAACTAGGATATCGTGCCCAAAAAGAGGTCCAATTGGGTAATGCAACCGGCGCAGGGTGTAAAAGTGCGCGCAGTAGCGTCTCGTACTGATTTTCGCAAACACGACGCGCCATTTCACGCCTCACGCGCCATTTCATAGCGCAAGTGATTAAACACTCCAATTTTTCCCCCTCAAAAGTCACCAGTCCCTTTCAATAATACGCTTAAACCGTAGAAAACACAGTCAAATGCAAGAACGGAATGGTGAGAGTGGGACGAGAGATCAGGGGAGATGGAGAGACACACAGAGACGTCAAGACCCGTCGAGGAGACCCGCGAAGCGGGGCGCTGTAGCAGCACAGCGGCCCCTAGCAGTACAGCACCCTCTAGCACGTCTTGGCCGTCCGGACCCACACCGTGCGGTAGGGCAGGAATTGCGAGTTGTCGCGGTTTAGCGGCCGGGCCAGCAGGTCAAATCTTAAATTGGGCCGGTTCTTCAACGATATTTTAAATGAAAAATACAATCAATATAAAAAATATAGATAGTTCTGGTGCTGGAGAGTTAGCGGGGGGGGGGAGGGGGGGTTTGCCCTTCTCCACCGTACCTGTACGTGTTGTTGGGTGCCAGCTGATCGACGCGGGTCTCGATGAGGCCGGTCAGCTCGTCCTCGCTCGAGTCGCCGAGGCGGATGTGGCGGCTTTTGCGCGGGCCGCGCGGCGAGTAGCACCCGACCAGCTCGGAGCTGAGCCCGCCCGAGCACAGGTCATCGGCCTAAAAGGTGGATGTTTAACTTTGCTAATTTAAAATTATTTTAAGTTCAGTTAAAAAATTTCCCAAGAAATCGAATTTTTCAATTTTCAATCGAATTTTTCAGAAAAATTTGTAAGGTTTTGCGTTTATAATAGCATAAAACAGTGTGGAAACACGGCTTTTATTATAGTTTAGGATTTATATATTGTATTACTCAAAACACTCACCTTACTAACGAGATGCTCCAAGAACTTGGCGGATTCGAGTCGGCGATACAAGCAGTATTCTACCGCCTCATCCGGTGCCCGCACCCATTGCAGCGTTGCGGACGAGCAGGCGCGACGCGTCACGCGCACCCTAAAATTGCATAAAACCCGAGGCCGTACTCCTTACGAGGTGTCGTCAGGGGAGAAGCGGATAGGGCGATTGGGCCGGGCGGCTGGAGGCCCAGAGACGGACACTTTTCACGGTGCCCTCCTCGTTGACCACCTCGAAGCGCAGCTTTCCGCCGCTCACGTTCAGCACCAGGAATCTGGAATTGGGGGCATACAAGTCAAAGGAAGTCCAGGCGTTTTGCCAGTTCAACTTTCGTCTTTCTAACTTTTCAAAGTTTCCGGAAAACACACCTGCGGAAACCGGAGAACGCCTCGCTCTTCTTCAGCAGCCGCCCATTCCGGTAGATGTTGACGCGGATGAAGCCACTGCACGAGTGCACGACAAGCAGCACCTGAAATCGGATCGGTTGCCCGGACAGTTTCTGGAGCGTGTCCGGCGTAATTTTTGGGCTTTTCGGACTGGGTGGCGTCATCGTTTTGCAAGTCGAGGGTGGCTAGGGTTACCCGGTGCGGGGGTCTTTCCGGGTTGTCGATGGTTTTTGGTCAGGTCGGTTTTGGTCATACTTTTGCCTTAGGCTGCTTTTTGTAATGTAAATTTCAAAAATTATTAGAAAAAATACAGAAAGTTCAATTTCACGATCAAAACTAGCCGATTTTGGACGAAAATCTTTTAGTTTCAACAATGTTTTGTAAATAGTTTGTTGTAAATTCCTCGATTTTGGGAAAACAGTTCCATGACTTTCACAATCCCCCTATGACCCACCAACTACCAAACAATATCTGGCTCAAGCAACCCATCTCGGCCTGGGCAGAACGTTGTGCCGCTTCCGCCCTGCATTCTCTACCCGTCAGCTGCCCCCCAAAAAAACAAGTAACCCCTGCCCTGCGGGCCCGGCCCAGGAATTCGTTTGCGTCACCGGCATGGACAGTTGCCGGCCATTGGCACCCCCGAAATAGTCGCAGGGTATTTTCGGCGGGGCTGCATTGGGAAGTACGTCAAAATGTGGGCACCGATTTGTCGCGCCTGCCCCGGCCGGGGGGCCTATTTGTCGGCGGTCAGAATGGTCGAAACGTGAAAGACTTATCTGCCACTCAGCGTAACAGATCAGTATGATCCCGTGATGCAAAAAGTACATACTCTTTTCGCGGCTCGCTCCTCCGAAACGCTCATATCGTAGCCGAGAATCGAGCCCCGACCCGCCGGCACCTCACCGTTGACGAGCTGCCCGTCGTGGAGGATGACATTCTAAAGAAGTTTAATATTAAGGTTTTCTGACTTTTAAAGGTTACCTCAGCGTTGGCGCGCTCCAAAGACCCGGTAGTTTTTTCGACGGATGAGGCTGGGATGGTCAGCTGCAGGCTTGAATATGGCGACGCGGCCCCGGTGGTTGAATCGCGAACGAAAAGGCTCACGTAGTACTGATGGCCGGGCCTGAATCGATCGGTAAAATTTTTTACTGCTATTTTAAATAGCTTTTTCAATGGGTTTTTCTATCTAGTAAGGTGTCTTTTTCACTCACCTCAACTTGTCGATTTTCACCTGGTTCTTCGAGCTCTCCACGCAATGAATGCTCTGAAAAACGGCGATTCCTTCTCATATTTTCTTGTTTCATTTTCCAATTCCCATGCGCCGTCATTTGACCACCAACCTCAAGTCCCTCGTGCAAATGATCACAGACAGCGTACTCGTTCTCGTTCCTCGACACCACCGCGCAGAAACGGTACTTCCCCACCGGAGCCCGCCGAACTTTTCCCGACGCCTTCCATGAGATCAGCGCGCTGGCAGTGTCTTTTTGTAGCGCGACGGCGTGGCCGAGACGCTTGTCCTCCGGTAAAGCTGGATACTAAAAAGATAGCATTTAGTTTTAACTTCAAAAACGCTAGTTACCTGCTCATCGAGCGCTCGCTGCGAAGTGGCGATAAAAATTCGCGCTGTGGCGGCGCTTGGCGCGCTCAGCGTGATCAGGAGACGATCTAGAAGAATTTCGGCTGAATTTCTACTCATTTAAGTACCAGCTAAGATACTGCGCGTATAGAAGTTCATGCGAGAGGAGCGCTGCTGCCCGGAGATCAGGCTCAACGAGGGGTTCGTCGACAGATCGCCGTACGCCGGGATGACGCCTAAAACTGCCTGTTTATTTTGGAAAATAGCGGTACCTGCTCTCATATTGTATATCTGATAGTGGACGGGGGCGCCACAAGGGCTGATCACCATAAATAATGGGGCCATTGGGTCGCGGACTCGATAGTAGAACCTAGAAATGAGAGGCTGGCGATGCTCCAAATATTGAAAGAGGTAATAATCTATTTTTTGGAAAAACTGTCTAGATGACGGATTGTTTTCGAAGCTGTATCATTTTATCCTAGCAAAATAAGATACCTCAACTCTCCGCCGCTCGGGATGTCCACGCTCAGCTCCTCGTGCTCCCGAATTCGTTGCGCTGATCGAACAAAGCCATAGCTGATGTGGCACGTCAATAATAACAAGGATAGGGCCCGCATTTCTGAAAATTTGAAGTTGGTTCTGGTCGCCAGAAAAGATAAATATAAGGAGAATGACCACAAAAATTCGAGCAGTTCGCAAAGTGTTCCTCAAAAAGCCAAGACTCGAGTGCATGCCGAAAAACGAAACTTGTTGGGGTGGTTTTTTGCAGGCCCTTGGCCAGCCAGCCTCCTAACGACCCGGCCACAAGAATTATGGCGGGCACTTGCGGCCAGTGGGGGGCCCCAAGGAGGCAAAGGCGCAGGGGAACAAAAAGTAACAAATGGACCCTGATCCGGGCCATTCCGCAGAGCCAAAGTTGCCCAGCAAACGCGGCCCGGTAAAGGAACCCTAGGGGCGGGATCAATGGACCCCTAAATTCCAAAGGGCCCAACACAGGAAGGTGGCCCAAAGTTCGGGGCGCGCGCATCGAAAACTGATGGCCCCTGGGGAGACGCGTGGCAAAAAGCAAGCAAGGAAGCCGAGAAAGCGCAACCATCACAACAAGCTTCTCGCCTTGGTTGGGGCCTCAGGATAATGGAGGGCTTGTTTGGGGGCTGGTGTCCGGGGGAGTGGGAGCATCTGATAGGACAACGAAGACCTGAAGGAGCTATTTTTGGAGGGTGACAAATGTGTTAATGTTCTGCGAGTTACCGAAAGATCTCATGATCAAGTCGGCGAAAAGTTTATTCTAGTGTTTTATTAGTGTTCGATTTCTAAAAGCATTTTTTAAAATTAAAGGGCTAGTTTATCTTTTAGAGCTTGGGCTGGTACCTTGGGAAACTATAGACGTAGGCACAGTGCGCCCGAACAGTCCCCCATTACGACAGCTATTAGAGATCGGGGAGATGAGGGAGGCGCAGACACAAAAATGCAGAGAGGGTTCGACTCCTGGCCGCGGAAATTCTTTTGTTTTATTGGCTGAACTAGCCCTTTAAGTCGAAATTTTGACCGGTTTTTACCAACAAGTCGAAATTTTCGAAAACCGAAATAACTTTCTAGTACCATTTTGTTAATTTTAATGATTTTTAGGTACGTTTTAGTAAATGTAATAATTTTTAGTAAGGTTTTACATAAAAAGGGCTTAATATCCTATCAAAATGGCTTATATCTTGCAAGATATGGAAGAGGACAAAGGAATGTCGCGTCCCCCCCCCCCCCGTTAATAAACCAGCACGCAAAATAGGAAGGAGCAGTCGGTAAATAAGGTAGGAACGACTGCCAGAGTACCGGAACGCCGCCTTAAGTACATCCCAAGAAGTTTACGAGTCCCCTCAAAGCCACTTTGAAAGGAATCCGGAAGTCGAGTCACCTCATACGCCGGCTGCAAATGAACCCCCGGGACATCCGGCAAAAGTTTTATACCTCCCCCTGGGAGGAAACGATGTTTTGGCAACTCATGGCTGGCACGCCAGGAATTTGCCCCCGGGCAACTCCGCCCCAAACAACCCGCTCTAACAGGGCCCCCAGGTCCCGGAATGCGATGAGGTCATTTCGGCCCTGTCCGGCCCGGGATTTTGATGCCCCGGCACGAATGGAATTCGGGCAGCTGACCCCGTGGCCCCTCTCGAGCTCGCGCTCAATTAATCTGTGACTAGTTGATTGGGCGGCTTGACCCACCCGGTGGATCGAGATCGGCGTGTCGATTTATGGGCGATCCGGGGGGTGCAGAACGGGCCCTGCCTGGGCCATTCTGCTGGTCATTGGCCCTTTGTAATTGACTAGACCGTGTTGCTGGGGTGTTTGGTCGAGGGAATGTGACAACAGTTTTCGGAGGGGCAAACATACAGAACGGTAGGATGATGCTAAAGTGCCTAAAAATTGTTTTGGATTGTCAGCGGGGGGGCTAAGTCACATTGCAATAATGAAATACAAATCATTTTTATTGCTCATAAACATCATATCACTAAACTTTAGACCTTTTTCAAATATAAAAATAAAATCATTAGCATTTTCGAAAATAGCGTTTTTTTCGTGCAAAAATCTATAAAACTAGTAAAATTCCAAATTTTCCACTGTTTTGTATGATCTTTTAATATTCAAAAAATACTAGAAGCACCGTCAAACGTAAAAAAGTAGCTAGATATGTGGCAAAGTGCCCCCCCCCCTCCGCTAACGTTCCAGAACCTTAAAAATTGTGTTCAAATAAAGCAATTGGCCTCATTAGAATACGGTAAGGTAAGAGAGCGCCAAAACGCCATCTTTCAGTGCTGGACAAAAGCAAAAACCGGCGCCACAACCAAAACCCCAGCGCCTACATAAATAAAGTAAACCTTTCCACGCCAACCGCTTTTTGGAGTCAAAAGCCCAAAATCAGGCAAGCGAAGGGAATTCGATTTGGCCAGAGGTGGCAGTAGAGCTCCGGCAGACGTCGCCCATAATTTACTTTCAAGCACCTCACCGCCCGCGAAGCCCTCGTCAACTCGAGCACCCGGGATACAAACTGGTGGCCGGTCAACAAAAAACTAGGCAGCCAAAATCTGAACCCGGTAACGGATTCCGCGAACGCCAGCGGGCCCCCTGGAGGCTCATTTTTTTTGAAGTCAAGATAGCCGCTGCATGGGCAGATTTCCCTCATTCATCACGCAGCCATGAAAGGAAAGGGCTAAACAAAGGGGCGGCATAAAACCCGAGCTGCAATTCTTTGTTTATGCGCATAAAAATTAGATCTATAGCTTTATTTCAGAGAGTTCCACACTTTGAGATCACAATCTCCTTGGTCGTTCGCCCCTTCTGGCGGCCGTAGCCCTCAATGACGCCTGTAAAGTGCGGTAGAAACCCAGAAAAGCCGTACCCAGATTCTCGACAGCATCCAGTGTGTCCCACCCAGAGACCAGCTCCCCAAATGCCACGTGGTAACCATCCATCCTAAATAACTCAAAGGCTAATCATCCTCCAACTTGACACCAACCATCTACATTCGTCAAATGTCACGAAGAAACGTGAAGAATTGGTGTTGGGCCACCCGAAATTGTCCATTGAGAGGACACCGCGTTTGTCGTGCTCAAAATTTTTTATTACTTTACTTTTAATTCTTTAAACGGTCGTTGTTATAAACTTTTAATAGGAACGGGGATTGAAATATTGCTTCCTTACCGACTTGTCGAAATTCTCATCATCGAACCATTTTCCATAAATGGAGCGCCCACCCTTCCTGTCCTTGTTTTGTGTCTCGAAATCGCCGCTCTAAAAGCGTTGTCAGAAAAGGATGTGTGTTTTTTTCATTTTTTTTTTGTAAACAAAAAACATACGCAGGCACAGAATCCGGGAACAACACGGTAGAAGATACTGCCTTCATAGCCGAAACCCTGTGTTCCACGACAAAGGGACGCAAAGTTCTCGCAGGTTTTTGGACATAATTCGGTGTCCAGCTGAAAGATAAAAACCGATTTTGGCATTCAATTACCTCAAAAAGCAATCTCCCGAGATTCGCGCCATCAGCTGTCAAATCAAAGAAGCATCGGGTCGAAGTGTTCGACGGCATTGTAGCGACAGCGATGTTAGGTAGTTCGAGAAAGACTAGAGGACCACACCGCCCAAAATTGCCCTAATTTTCTGTGGCCGTAGCCTTTCCAAGACGACCGTATCATTTCAAAGAAATTTATCGAGTCGTCCAACAGAGAATATGCGTGAGAAGCAATACATTGGTTAAAACATGCGAAAAAAAATTATACAATTGATCGGTTAGCGCTTCTTTTTATTTTTCTTCCCACCCGCTGCGACAGTGGCTTGAGGCGCGGCGACGACCGGCTTTTGCTGTCTGGTCTTGAGCATCGGAATCAGCTTTGCCACGTGTTTGTAGAGCGCTTGTCGGGTCGTAATTTCGGGAACGAGCGGAGTCCCATCTTCACTGAATAGCTGCACGCGCACTCTACCCTAAAAACTCGTATTAGCAGATTTCTGAGCAGCATAAGGCAGAACATCGAAGAGAGACTAATCAATCGCTTCACCTGGCATAAGGTGCTTCGAAGTTGATCCCTCGGGTACATCTTTGTTTCCACCAGATTTGGCAGCGGGATTGAATTCAGGACGTCGACGATTTCGGGTACATTGGGCGCGTCGACGGCTTCCGCAAGTGGGATCCTCCGGCCCTCCACGAGCGTCTTCTTGGAAATGTACGCCGGGTAGATCACCACCCATCTCAGCTGGTCAGATTTGGGCTTTTTCTTGACGTCCATAACCTGGAAAATCAATGTTAAAGGGAATAAATTTTTTTGATACAATTTTCAGATAGAGTAAAAAAAAGTACAAAGTAGTAGAAGAAATAAATCTTTGTATGAAAAATATAGATACCAAAACGAACTCGGTTAGCAAAAATTTTGGTTTTGTTTTTTTTTTTTTCAATAATTTAAAATAACACCAAAATTTCCCAGGTTTTTTTTTTTTTTTTTGGATTTTAATAACACCATTTAAGGCCCCCCCGCCGGGGAACGAAAAAAGTTTTTTTTTTGAACCAACCACCCCCCCCCCCAAAATAAATTTAATATTATTTTTTTAATTTTTTATTTATTTTACGATCCCTCCCCCGGAACCCCCCCCTCTTCACCGTAAAAAGTAAAAAGGAGGGATTTCTTTTTTTTGGGGTGTGGGGGCGGGATTAAAAAGAAAAGAACCAAAACAAAAAAAAAAAAAAAAAAGAAAAAACAAAACCAAAACAAAATTTTGAAATTTTTTAAGGGATTTTTTTTAAAACTTAAACCTTTTCGGCCCACTTTCGCACAAATCTAAAAATTCTAAAAATCCAAACGGAGCAAAAACAAAAAGCAAAAAAAAAAAAAAAGGCGCACCCTTACAACCTCCTCACGGAAAGGTGAGAAAAACAAAAATAAAAAGGAAAAGCAACCCCAAAAAAAATTTTTATAATAAATTAAAAAAAAAAAAAACAAAAAAAACCCCTTTCCCCCCCCCCCGCACCCCGCGGTTTGGGGCCCCGGGGCGCTTACGTTCTACAGGCCCCCCGGCGGGGGGGGCGCCCGGGCGCCGCGCGCCCCCCCCCCCCCGGCCCGCCCCCCGCGCCCCCCGGCGCCCGAACAAACAATAAAAAAAAAAAATTTTACGCAGAACACGATGACTTTCAACCGTTCATTGATGTAGAACGTACGCGTCCCGGTGATTTTTTGGCTTTGACAATTTTCGTTTTTCTGTTACTTTTCGTCGATTTTAAATTAATTTTATGCGAAATTTGAGAAGAACTCTAATAATAAATAGTTTATTATAATTGTCCCACATCTCGCTTTGGATTCAATTCTTTGTTTCACAAAATTGTAACCCAACACCGCGGGTTATAGCATCGTTTTCTGACATCTTCTATTCCCGTTTATTTAGCTTTTTTCTCACAAATTTCATCAGGTTTCCCTCTCGATATCACGTGGATTGCTTCTTTGTTCTTTTTTACAGCACATGTCTATTCGGGATCGGTTACGTGACCCAACACACAACCCCTCTGCACGTCTATTTAGTGGGCCAGTTCGTCTTGACTTTTCTACCTAAAACGGTCTCATCCTATTGCCGTCTTCAGTTTACGTAAATACCATTTTCCGGTGAAATAAACAGAAAATACAGTTTTTTTTTCAGCAATGGAGTTCCCCGAAAGCTTCGTGCTGGGGTCGGAACCGCCCCTCAACCCACCGAAACTTCGAAGTAGCGCATCATCAGGATTTGTTAATAAACTAGGTATCTTACCAATATAAGTCTAGGTGCTTTCCTTTAGCATCCAATGATCCGGCTCAGCTACAAGCCCTTCTCACCGTTTGGAACCAGCAGCACGACCAACCTGGTTTCGACGCAGTGGATCTCCTTGAAAAGTAGTGCAAAAGAGCGCTTGAAAAAAATTCCGTTCAGGATGGCGGTCGTGTTGGAGAATTCACTGAACGAATTTCTCAGTCTGGACCCGGATCCGCTAGACGATCGGCACCCAGTTCGAACACATCCTGACGCCAGCTATGGCAAAGCGCTCAACATGCTTTTTCGCAATGCTGACTTTATGCACGCCGTGAGTCCGACTGTTTTTTATCAAATGTGCTTGTAGATTACGATCTCCTATATCGTTGCTCGCGATAACATAAAGCTGAATGTGACGGCCGCTCGTTTGCTGTTGAGCTGCGTTCCCGGTGTGGATAGTCGAGCAATTTTCACGGTAACGGCATTGTAACGGAAAGTTATAAGGCTAATTCCAGGAGCATGACAATGTTGTTTATCAACTCTTCGCCAATGTCGAAAACAGCGAATCCGAAGAGCTGCGGGCATATTCGTTCGGGCTTTTGGCTTGCGCATTGGAATCGCAAGAAATGGCTGAAAAGTATCAGGACCAGAATTTACGGCTAATTCCACTCGCCTTGAAGACGCTTGCCGAGTTAAAGGTTGTTTTTGATCCGATCTAATTCTGAATTGACAATTTTTTAGGCCGAAATGCATCCGGAAAAGCCGGAGCATCATGAAGCCCCGTGTACTTCAGCCGGCGTCAATGGTTCTGCCCCAAATGGTGATGATGGACCATTTGCCAATATTGACATTGCCGAAAACCATACGGACGCGGCGGAGCCTAGTTCTACGAGGAGCGATCTCGGTCTATATGGGTATGTTTTCACCGTCCTTTCTAGAATTATTTTCCAGCTGCCCTGTTCGTGTCAAGAATTCTCATCCAATCGCCACACAACCTTCGACCATTCTGAGCCCACCAAGGAAACGTCGAAAGATTGAGGTACCAGCTTTAATATTTACAAAGTTAAAAATTAAAATTCTTCAGGATCTCACGACCGAGTCGTTTGACTTCAACGAAGATAGTGCGCAGAGCACGTCAAACTGGTGTAATCAGATGCCACTGCTTTTGGGAAAGCATCAAGTACGCTTTCAAGACATAGGAAATTAATCAAACTTTCGTTAAAAAAATCAAAACATCACTTTTTAGGTGTACCCATTGACGACAGCCATGCATCAACGTCTCATCCTTCAATACCTCACCCAAACCGGGGAATACCAAGATGTAACTTTTTCCGGAAACGATCACTAAAGTTTTTAGCTCCTCGTCAGAGTCTTTGAAGGCAATGCACTACCGCTTCTGATGGATTATACAGATCTGCGGAAGACGAAGGATGTCCGGTTGACGCTGGATGCCATTAGAGTTTGTAAATTTTACTAGTCTGATCTTGATTTTAGTACATTTCTTCCCTGCTCGTCCACCGTCGTTTCGCGACAGTTTTTGTGCAAAAAGGAGGTGTCGAGGCCCTGCTGAAGGTGCCTTGTGGAAGCCTCGCAGCCGTCGCAGTCTCTACCTGCCTTTACTATATCGCTTACACCGAAGACGTCATGGAAACCTGCCTTTCTCACTGCCCGGAAAGCACACTCGACAAATTGGTCGAGTAAGTAGTTTTTACGTAAAAATTCACCTAGCTTAGGTACGCGTTGTGGTGTGTTGAGCACTCCCACGAGAATGGTATGGCCAGCGCCTGTATGTTCTTCACGCACTGTATCAAGTTCCGGCCTATTCTGGAGCGATTCGATCGCATGGACGGCCCGAGGATCGTGTTGAACTACGTAAGTGTCTATCCAAAAATATAATATTATTATAGCTCTCAACTCTTTCACTGTTCGTGCAATTCGAAGGCGGAACTGCGGTGACGCTCACGGATGAGCAGATGCAAACTTCGATGCATTCAATTCGAAACGTGTCGGCTTGCTTCCGAAGGTATTTTTGTTTCCTTCGGTGCATTATTCTTTTCAGTTACTTAACTGCCCACATCTACTTGAAGCTCGAGCAGCTTCGTCGCCACGCCCGCACTTCTCTTCCGCTTGGCTATTCATGCCAAATACCAGCTGTAATCCTTCGAAATTCGTCTTCTTTGAAGGTACTAGAAGGCACCAAGTTGTGTAAAAGGCTTTTTTAGCCGATGGACCTGGACGATGACGCCTTGCAAGGGGCCGTTTGGGCCTTGGCATGCGCACTACGGATTGACAGGGTGCCGCCTTGGAAACCTGCGGAAAACCTTCGCGCCATCGACGTCAATAAGTACATGTTCCACATCGTCCACCACGCCCTTGGCTTTGAAAATATTGCAGCTACTAGGTATTCCTATTCATCTCCTCGGCAACGAAATTTAGCCGACACGACATGATTCGCCAAGCGCTGCAGGTGATGTGGATGATGGTGGTGCTGCCTAGCACACAGCAGGACATCATTGAGCGGCTCGAGATGAAGGACCACAGCGGCTGCTCGGTTCTGACGTAAATTTGCAAGGCCCACTTTATTACAAAATTTTTTAGCCATTTGATTAGCCACTGTGACATGCCTTGCCAGAATGATGAGATCACGAACTTGGCCCTGAACATCATGCAAGTATTGGCATGTGTGCCTCCTATGTTGGAGACTAAGGTATGATAGTTTTTACGCTTTTGATTGTATTTATTCCAGACGCAATTGTCGACCGCGCAAACCCCCGGGAAAACGCCTGATCGAAAACCCCGACCGGCTTACGAAGAAAATTTTGAACCGCTCAAGAAAGTTTGGGCGGCGATCAGAAATGCCAATGGAATCATGGTAATAGTCACCCTCCGGATGTAGTCTCTTTTAGTGCATGATCAATGTCATTGGTTCTGCCAGTGGCCCGACGAATGATCGCCTTCGTCTCGTGGCTTGTCGCACTTTGCAAGGATTGGCCAGGTAATTTTATTTTTTCGAGACATTTAGCCTTTTCAGAGACCCGGAGGTTTGCCAAATGCTGTCCAAACTGCCCTTTATTCGCGACAATGTTCTACAATGTGAGAAAATCCTTTTTTAATCAATTTGGCTGCTTTAGCTCATTACCGCGGACTACTTCCCTCGGAGCGCCGCAGTGCCCAAGCTCGGTTCTTCAAGGAAGCGCGAAAGCTGATCGAGGTTGTCACAAAGCGCCGCCTCAGAGATGTGAAGGACATGTCTCATGTAAGCCGTCGGAGATTCATCATTATCGGTGTTTAGGAACGCATTGAGAAACAAGGCATCGTCACCTCGACCAACATCTCATACAGTGACCAAGAGGTCTACCAGCTGCTCCATTCCTATTTCCTGACAAAGGTATTTGACGACCCTTTACGTATATTTTGAAATTAGGGCCTGAGCAAGACAGCTTCACAACTGTTCGCCGAGGCTGGGCTCCCTGCGGGTCCACCGGGATCTGCGCCCCCACCACAATTCAAAGCACTCCCTGGCTTGGTAAACTGTTTTTACTTAGCTTTTATCGACGACTTTTGTAGCCCTCCAAAATCGGGATGTTGTCCAGCACGCCAAATAAACCGGCCCTCTGCATGGAATCGGGACCGGGCAGCCATTTTGGAAGTGCCGTTGCCACGCCAAAAGCCTCCCAGACGGCCACACCTTCTGCCTCGAAGGATACCTTCTTTGCGACGCCCATGAAACAAACGCCGAACAGAAGAGGCCGACCCGCTCGTGCTCCTGAGCTCGCCAAAACGGATATTACGCTTGATCAAGTTTTGACGAATTACTTCAGGTAGACATCTTTGCATTCTCAAACCGGGAGCTTTAGGTTGCAACACGCGGAATGCCGGAACCCGATCGCGACATGCCCTCCATTTGAACTCTTCCGTCCTCACAGTTGCCCGGAGCCGCTAGAGAAAGACACACTCTCCACGCATATCACGACGCGCCTCTGGAATCGGCCGTTGACGTTGGCAAATGATCGGTAAGTCCTGCTAGTAACTGCCAATAAGTAAATCTTTTAGGACACGGCACATCCGGGCGTACGAGCGTTTCCAGCACTCTCGCTTCCGCCCACTGAAAACTTTTGTTAATGAAGAAATGTGTACGACGGCGGCATTTTCGGTATGTTTGAATTTTTAGGATTCCGAAAGAATCTCCGATGAACTGCGCCTTATCACGGATTTTATGCAAAATTTAGATTGACGATGAACACGTCGTCGTCGGATTGTACACAGGGGAACTGCAGTGGCTAAACGCGGAGACCGGAAACCAAGAGAGTAACACCCACTGTCACCATTCTGCTGTCACTCACATCGTGTGCAGCCGGGTAAACGATGATATTGTGATCCTCATACGTCTCTTCAGGACGGCAGCACCCTGCTCACCTCATCCGCCTTTGTCCGCCCGTACTCTTCCGTGTGGCGCCTTGGGGAAACGCAGGTATAGAAACTCACACTAGCTAAAAAATGAATTTATTTAGGAGCACATGTACGACCTCGCCGAGGAAATCCACCTGGAATACGGTCGACGCGGTTCTGATAAAATCCTTGGGACAAGCTCCGCGTACGAGACGAATGAGGGAATCGCGACGGTGAGCCGAAGCTTCCTTTTTGGCTTGGGATTGCTAGATGACTTTTTTCACCAAAGATAAGATTTAGATTTACGACACAGAGAGTGGAACGCCGATCGTCAAAATGTGGAAGCAGGGCGAACCGCAGCGCTACCGCCGGAATCTTGCCCACTTCGCTCCGGATGACGGCATGGTTTTGCATGATGGTACGTGCATTCTTACAGCTACGATTATCTTGTCTCTAGGACAACTCTGGGATCCACGCTGCGCTACAGAGCCCCTGCACACCTTCGACCTGTTCGGCTACGTGGCCTCCGGCGATTTCCATCCCCACGGCAATGAGGTCATCATCAACGCACAAGTGGTGGGTTTTGTAGTCGGCGAGCTAGAAATTTTTATTAAGTGGGACCTTCGCACCTACAAACTACTGCGCTCCATCCCCGCCCTCGACCAGTGCAAGGTGGTTTATCATCACGTGGATATCTATTTTTTTAGCTTACTTTCTCTTCAACCGGCAACATCTTCTACGCGATCAAGCGGGAAGAGGATCGCGAGGATAGCTCGTTTCGCGACACATACACCAGCAAATTTTGGTCCTACGACTCCATCTTATACGAGGTACTGAATTTTTAGGTTTCCGTAATATCGAAGTTTTTAGCAAATTGCTGAGGTGGATGTGCGAAAGCCGCTGCTCGGATTCTGTCTCGACCACACTGATCAAAGGGTTGCCGTTGTGGAGCGGACGTCGCGTGATGAGGAGGGGTATAGAAGCCTCGAATCTTCAGCCGTCAAATTTTACGAGGTTTGGTGAATCTCTTTTTAAATTATATAAGTGATAGAATAGATATATATTTTTTGAGGAAAGGCAGTACAGGTCACAGAAAAAATTGGATGTCCATTTTCTAGCCTTCCAACTTTCTAGCAATTTCCCCTTTTAGATCGGCAAACTGCGGATCCCAGAAGAAGATGGCGAGGAAGAGGTTGATCCGGAAGCTGTTGGAAGTGATTACTCGTCGTCTGCTGTAAGTTTTTATATACCCCGAGTTGGCTTTTTGTGTTCGTGAAAATCTACTTTCTTTTTTAGGAGGAATCATCTGACTTTGACGATGAGGACGAAGATGAAGATGAAGACGAGGATGAGGATGACGCAAACGACGATGCTGACGGCAGTGAAAGCGGATCTGGGGAAGGTGGCAGTCTCTCTAGCGGCTGGGAACTCGACGAAAACGCAGATGCCCCCATGAATTCTGAAGGTATTAGTTTCTTCCGCTTATGACCATCCATATCCGATTAGCGGGAAGCGGAACTTCCGATGACAGTGACGAGGACGAGGACGATGACGTTGACGATGATATGGAAGATGGTCAGGATTTCTTCGACCTAGATGATTCCGACGAGGAATACGAGGAAGAGCCGGATTCGCGGGGGCAAGGTCGGTTTCTTAGCTCGGCCTCTCATATTTTTTGATTTAGGCAGTTCGAGCATCGTCCTCAACCCACACCTTCGCCGAGCCCGCCGCCGAGACGCTAGCGAACGCGACGGTTAAAACGCTGATCAATTGAATGCACCGTTTCTTTTTGTTGTTTGTTTTCTTTTTTTGGATACTTAGTCCGTTGTTAGGCTTTGAAATTGGGTCTCTTGTTACCGGTGATTTCGCCTCGCCCTCTCCCGCCTTCTCACTGGCGGAAGCCTTTGTGCTGTGAGGTGTAGGCTATTGTCATGTTGTCCCTTGTTGTTCCTTATGTTCTGATAAATTTTTCTATTCTGTTTGCCTTTTTTCAAGTGCAGTATGATACTTTATACCGATTATATTAAAAATGTATATCCGTTAGAGCCAAAGCCACTTGGGGATTCGGCGAGCCGATTGGCCCGGTGCTAGCCACCTAAAGCTATTGTTTGAATATATGAGGGGGTAAGTACCTGGTACATCAGTCTATCCCGGGAAATAATCCCATTTGCTCCGGCTAGTTTCTCCAATATGTTGTAGGTTCCTTTGCTTCCCTCGGGCGCAAATGCGTGCAAGTCGCGCCTATTTCTCGTTCAAACCTTTCCGTCCCCTTACCGATAGATCGCAGCCATGTCCGGATTAAAATCGAAGTCGTCCTCGGGGTTCTAAACAATTTTTTCAGACCGATATTGCGCCTACTTACGTAGTAATTCAGAACCAGCTCGCGTAGTAGCCCTTCCCCAATTTCTTCGCTTTCTGCCAAAAGTGGCCCCAGGAGCAGAATTCCCAATGGATCCCCCCACGGCTTCGCGTATCATCCCAAAGCCGACAATTTTCCCCTACGAGGATTCAGGCCTTACATCAATTGTCCAAACCTGACCATCAATCGTTATGATGGCATGGTTACCCTTGAGTGAAGAAAAAGCTTTCCAGAATGCCTCGCTAAAATTGTTTAGGTTTACTCCCTTGGCGACATACCCTTTACTGTAGCCGGTGCTTGCCGCCTCGAAATTTGCGACCTGAGCCCATAGCTCTGCATCCGCTTGGTCTCCTGCTATGACTTTGTAAGCGCTTGGCATTATCTAAATGGCCGTTTCAAAAACGTAGTCTGAATACCGTCAACTTTGTAAAGCCATCCCCATTAGTGACCGTAAGACGTTGGCTACGTGGTAGGTTCGCCAGCTTTAAGCCGAAGCGAGGTAGCGAATGATGAAGCGGGTGCACTAGTTACAAACATTTATTATTTTTGTCCAACCGACCTGCGTGGAATATTACCTTGCTTCGTGGCGGGGTATGGTCTAATATCTCCCTAAGGAGCTTTTCCCCGATACCAGAATGTCTGAATTATCTGTTAGCGCGAGACAAACGCTCACACCTATTTTCCTCGACGACAAAGTGACATCCTAGCACGCAAACTTGGTCGTAATTGACCAGTAATATACCACCAATAAAATCCCCATCTAAATGTGCCTTTAGTTTACTGTTGCTTAGGCTGGTCGTTGATTTATAGACCCTTTAAGCTTATACTTTGTGTCTTTGCAACCAAGAGTTTCAAAGTAGCAGTCTTCTCCAATGTCTCCATCAGCTCGTACTGCAGCAAGAAATGGCTCTGCATTTCCGCCAAAGCGACAAGCTAAAGAGGTTTTTACGAATAGTGCTACTCCGATACTTTTTGGAAGTCTTCTGTTCCACCCCAGTGGAACTTGTACCAGAAGCCGTGCCGCGAATAAGCACCCTTCCAGGGGTCGCCGACCCATCTCGGGAGTCGATTGTCATAAGCCTGGGCCGGGGTCACTATATCTTACTCGTCTTACCTCCATCGAGATTGGCTCCCCAATAACCTGCGGTTCTTGCTGGGCGAGCACCACATCAAATTTTTGTAGAGGATTTGTAGAAAGTTTTAGTGGATCCAGGACAACCATCTTTGCGTGTAAGAGGGCCGCGGAAAATTTGCGACTGGAATTCGAGATCGTGCATCGCAGCCAAATTAGCTGCGTTTTGCCGGGGTTCACATGGCCAGTGTCGCGGTGATTTGCATGAATCGATCCGAAACATCTAAAATTGGTCATAGCTTTTTTCATTCTCCAGCACTTTTGTCGTTTTATGTTTGCAAAACAAAACAATTGTCACTCTTTTGCTTGAAGGTTTGGGGGGCTTTGACCCGAGCAACGGCGCGCTACAAATTACGTCTGAGCTGCATTTCCCCTCCTGCGATCGGTGATCTCGAACATATTTTGTTTCGTCGAATTTTATCTTTGCCCCTTTCCTTTTGGCTATTAACTTTGTTAGTTTTTTGCTCGTTATAGCCTCGAAATTTTTTCTTTTTGTTGGCCTAATTTTTCTGCCCGTCCGAGCGTTGTTCCTTCCAATTCTCTTGTTTTCTATCGTTGTGGCTAAAGAAAATAAAACTTTTATTCAGATGGTCCGTCGTCGCACCGCTTCCCCGACGCCTTCGGCCCCGGTCCGCAGAGCTGCGCCGAGCCCGCCGCCCTCAGCTCGTGCAGCCCCTCCGATGGCGTCCCCGATGTCGGCTCGCCCTGCTGCCGCCCCGATGCACGCCGCGCCTCCGATGGCCGGTGCTGCCCCTTCACAGGTACGAAAATTTCCAACGCCTTGAAAAAAAAATACATTCAGGGCCCCGGTCTGATGGCTCAAATGGCCGCGACCGCTGGTGGCGTCGCCATCGGGTCGGCCGTCGGCCACACCGTTGGGCATATGCTTACCGGAGGCGGAGGATCGTCGAGCGACCACGCTCCCGCGGCTGCCCCTGCCGCCGCCGCTCCGGCCGGCCAGCAGTATTCCAACCCTTGCGAGTTCGAGTGGAAACAATTCATGGAATGGTACGAGTTTCCGAGCATTTTTCATTCCGCTTCTTTTAGCTCGCAATCCCAGTCGGACGTCTCGCTGTGCCAGGGCTTCAACGACGCTTTCAAGCAGTGCCGCACTCGCTACAATTAGACACCATTTTGCCTTACTTCATAGATGTTGATTGATTTTACGTGATTGTCATGACCTGGTCACTCCATTTCCATTTCGTGTGCTAGCGGATTTTTATGAGAATAAACTAGAGATTACAGATATGGGCGTCCGGGAGAAGCTAGGCAAGAATCTCAAGAATAAATTTAAGCAGCAGAATTTGTTGCAGGTATGATTACGGGCACATTCACTAATTCTTGGATTCAGGAAAAAGAAGAGGTCGACGAGGAAAAATTGGCGAAGTTGCTTCATCAGGAGGTCATCAGCGATTCTGATGATTCGAGCGTTGATGGCGATGAGAAACCTGATCAGGTTGCTTTTTAGTCCACGTCTTAATTAGATTTTCAGGACGCACAAATAGTTCGAAGCAAATGGACGAATAGGACCCGCGTACTGTTGTTCTGCTCCCGGGGGACAGATTTCCGCACAAGACACTTACTGAAAGATTTGCACGTAAGCGTTAGACATATTCGCCTTACGTAGATATTTTAGACACTGATGCCGCACTCGAAGTCCGAGCCTAAATTTGATAAGACAGCCACTCTCTCGGTCATCAACGAGATTGCTGAAATGAAAAATTGCCAGAAGGTTCTTTATTTCGAGAACAGGAAAAGAAAGGTAGTTTGTTAGCGCTTAGTTTGCTAATTTTTCTTAGGATCGGTATCTCTGGATGTCGAACATTGAAAACGGGCCGTCGATGAAGTTTCTCGTGCACAACATCCACACAATGGACGAGCTAAAGGTAACCATATTGCATACAAGCTCAAAAAATTTCTTCAGTTGACCGGCAATTGCTTGAAAGCCTCTCGGCCGATCCTGTCGTTTGATTCGACGTTTGAAGGCAAGCCACATTTGGAGTTGATCAAGCAGACGCTTACACAGGTGCGCTTTTTGCTTGGTCCCAAAATCCCGGCGTTTTTAGGTATTTAGCACACCCGAGCACCACCCACGATCTCAACCGTTTGTCGACCACGTTTTCACTTTCTCGATTTCCCCAGATGAGAAGATCTGGTTCCGAAATTTCCAAATCGTCGACGAAACCTTGCAATTGCAAGAGATCGGTATGTTTGAGAAAACCTTGGTAATTGATTATTGTTTCTTAGGGCCTCGATTTGTGCTCGAATTGATCCGGATCTTCAACGGATCCTTCGAAGGGGCTGTTCTATACGATAATCCAAACTATGAGGTAACTTCGCTTGGTGATAATGGATAAGATTGAATCTATAGGCTCCGAACGATAAGCGACGCATGCTGAAGATTGTCAACCAAAACAAATATGTCAACAAGAAACTACACGAAAAGGTGATTTCATTTTCTGGCTATAAGCAATCTCTTTCAGGTTCAAGTTGAGAAGGACATCTCGACGAAGGCCGTGCTCAAGGAGAAAGTGGAAGATCCTGCTGGCGAGGTTAACTCGTTCCCATCGCTCTAAACTAGCCCTTTCCTAGATTTTCAACGCGGTTCCTTCCGACGAAGCCGCAAAGTTGGTGGCCGCCAAGATGGACAAGAATTTGAAGAAGAGGAAGGCGACCAGCAACGGCAAGCAAAAACTGAAAAAGAAGAAGGCCGTCCCGGAATGCTAGTTCAATCGTTTTGTTTGTTATTCGAACGTTGTTGTTTGTTATTGTTGCTACAGTTTTTGTTGATGATAAACTGGGTTTTGCCGCGCTTGCTTTCGGGGTTTGGGTCGTCATGGCAACCGAGTCACGCAACAGCAGCCCGATGCATCGAATCACTTTGCCTTATACTAAAAATGGATGCAACGGGGTCGTCTTTCTGGTCCAATTCGTTGTATTCTGCGGTATGTTCACCTCGCACGGCAGAGGTTTCTCCTCTCAATTTCCTAGAGGAAATGGATGCATGCCTATACGAGGGGGTTCCGTGCACAGGTAGTCCCTACTTCGAAACAACGAGCTTGCGAATAGATACCTCACTAACAGATGAGTGCGAGCTTTGGCGAAGCAGATTTCCACATTTCCGACTCAAAGGCTCTAGGATCCGTAAGAGCTGTAAATGTCCGTACACAAAATCAAAAATCAGATCCGCCGCCTCGCGAAACCGGAGAAAACGAGTTCAGAAAGATGATCGTAGATGTCCTCATCCAGGAACATGCCATCCCAAAAGTATTCAAAACTTTTTTATCTGTCAACAACCAACTTTAGATACAAACGGCAATTGTCTCTAAAAAACGATTGCTCAACAGACCACAAATGAAGAATGTATCAAAGTGAGACTCGAAGAAGACTTGAATAAATGATTAATGTGTGGCTATAACAAAACAACGTAACAACGGGGGGATAACAATGTAAGGAACCCAACAAGGAGCAATGGGGAAGGGGCATGCACCAGCTCTAATCTTCGAACTTGGTCTTCTTATTTTGAGCGCCGGCTGCTGGAGAGTCGAAGTTGCGCTTGAAGCCTCCGCCGCGATCTGAAAACAGCTGTTATGAACGCCGCCCGCGATGATAGAAACTGAACATGGAACACAAAAAGGCAAAAAATAAATACCTCCACGGAATCCGCCCCTGTCGCCACCGCGGAAGCCGCCTCGGTCACCACCTCGGAAGCCGCCACGATCGCCGCCACGGAAGCCACCTCGATCGCCGCCGCGGAATCCTCCACGATCGCCGCCACGGAAGCCACCTCGGTCTCCTCCTCGGAAGCCACCCCGATCACCGCCACGGAAACCACCTAAACAAAAATACTGAATGAAGGTAATTACAAACCTCCACGGCCACCTCGATCTCCTCCACGGAATCCACCGCCTCGGCCACCACGTCCACGGTCACCGCCACGACCACGGCCTCCACGCTGTTGCTGGAACGCGAACAGTTAGACAAGGATTGTAGTCAATCAGAAACGCGGACCACATTTCCATGGGTCCCTGTAGCACAGGAAATGAAAATGAAACTCACCTGTCCAGTAAACCGCTCCACAGGTAGGAGTTTTGCAGGATCGATGTATACTTGTTGACCACTTTCGAATGACGCCGACTTGACACCACCGCTCAATTTGACCGTAAATCCCTGGAAAAACAATACGTAAAATATGCACGCAGAAAACCCACGCTGTCCTGAGGTCCTCCAAAGATCTCGTCGATTTTGCCGACCTCCTCTTTGTTCTCGAAGTAGATGGGCGCGTTGAAGTAAGGGATCTTGCCGGATGTGTTCGAGCAAACTATGTCGTCTTCGCAGGAGTGGGTGAACTGGCCGACGATGATGACCTGAAAAAAGGTATAAGTAACCGGCAAGGCAGGAATCTTTGAAAATTTCGTTACGAATCTGGAATAGAAGGAAGATCCTTACTTCTTCTGGGGGTCCATAGTTATCGCGATTGCCGAAGCCACCGCGTCCACCTCCACGGCCACCGCCGAAACCGCGTCCTCCGCCTCGGCCACCGCCAAAACCGCGTCCTCCGCCTCGATCGCCACCAAATCCGCGTCCTCCGCCTCTATCACCGCCGAAACCCATTCTAAAAAAGGTGTAACGGTGGAAAATGTGCACAAGGAAAACGTGAAAAGTTTTGGCAAAACAGCAAAAAAATAATATATAGCATTGATCACGTATAGAAGGACTGTAACACAAGATAAACATAAAAAAGTTGCTTGGAAAGTTTTGGGTTTGAGGATCGCGCCCGAGGAAAAACGAGGCTGGCAAAATGCCAGTCGCCCCAGGACCGCCCCTGCCCGACACACCTTTCCGATTTTTCGGTGACCGCTGCTGAACTCGCCGCCAGCGATGCGAAATTCGCAAAACTTTGCATTGCAAAAATTGTGGGATATAAAACTTAGAAAAGTAGTAGACTTCAATGGATAGTATAGTAATGGCCTACCCTCACGCATGTATTTCCCACAATTTCAACGCTCGGTTTGCCCTTGCTGCACTCATCCTGGGGCAGAACCACGTGCTTCTACCCGATTCCTTGAAATTTTAGCGACTTCCAGGGTCCACTTATGGCCTTTAGATCCAGGACCTTCTCCTGGGCTCTGAAATCACCGCAGCATTTCCATCAGTGGAGTGACCGTAATCGGCGCCCACGCTTGTCTGCCCCTTTACGGGCTCCCGCTTTTCACTTCCCTTGTTCGTAAAGTTACCCCTATTATTTCCGTCTCTTTTGCGTTTTTAGAAGTTGTGGGAAAGGAGGTGGAGATAGTAAGAATGAATAGCACCCTTGTTTTTGCTTTTTGTTAATGCATTCCCAAATATCAGTAAGTAGTGTTTATGGCAGCTTGGTTTTTTTATCATTGGAGCAGAATTTTGTCTAACCCCGGCCTTATCGCCTCGATCTGCGCACAGTCGCGTGCTCTTGGCCGCCGCCGCGCTCTTTTTGTGTGTGTGCCCCAAGAGGCTCGCTGTGTCATCTTTCGACATTCATTGGCCGGTAAGGTTCTTTTGCTCATACAACCCCCCCCCCCCGGTTCTTAATCATGGTCGAAGGAACGAGAGAAAATTTAATAATTTTTTTCCTTCAATGCGTTGGCCACGACAAAGCCCCAGCCTGATATTGATCCCAGCTAGAGTCCCTAGTCTCGCCAAAATTTCCTATGAACCATGATTGGAGGAAAAAGGCGAAGCCGTGACGCCGTCTTCCTAATCCCTGGCGCCACGATCAATACGGCGCACATCTACCTACGCAAATTCGGCGCGATTTCACGGTTCAATACCACTGGGGACGGGCTCCTCGGCTCCCCTTCCCTAATCCACTTCTTTATGAGCTTCGTGGATTAGCGTTTATACCCTGGAACTCTCTTTCTTTCACGGCATCTCTCCGCTGATCCGGAGGCCCCGGATGAGTTCATTGTCAGCCCGGATCGGGCAGCAGCGCTCCCCCCCGCCCAGCCCGATTGAATATGGCTTCTCCGCCTCGCTCTCAGGCCCGGCTGTCCCGTTGATCGGTGAAATGTTTGTTGTCAATTCTAATGGATTTGTCGAAAGGGATGTGCCCCTCTGGGCTATTATTAACAAGCATTAATTATAGGCTCATTTTTGAAAGATATTGTCCCCACGATTAGCTCGTCTTTTGGCGCCTTTAGGTCTTGGCGTGGGTTTTTTATGTTTCGGCTCGAGGGCATTGCCCGTGTGCGTTGAAATATGCCGAATCAATTATTGCTGGACGCGTCTTATCACTTCGAGCAATGGGGGGCTTCGTGTGTGGTTCAGCCGAGAGTGGTGATCAAGTAGTCTATGAAGTTAGCGCAACTCTGGTCAATTAGCCTAGCAATATGTACTTGCCTTCCAACTCGCTGGTCTTCTAATGTTATCCGTCCGATGATTTGCGACATTTTTGAGCTTCGTGTTTGCTCGTAGCCAATTGCTAGAATGATCCGCATTTATGCGCTCTGGTCTGGTCAAGCGGTAGCCCGATTCTGCGGGCCTGTGGTGTTCGATTGTGAAGGGGAGCAGGGACGATGGGTGGCCAGTGGCCCTGGCTGGCTTCTCTGGCCATCGCCGGCCTGCCCTCCCCGTCTGCCCCCCTCTCGATCCCCCCACCCGTGCCCGGCGCCATTTTCTCACGCTCGGACCCGCCTGCCCCCACTTTCCCATCGCGTGTTCGGGGGGGCTCGACCCCCGGCCAGCATCGGCCCGTTTTTTGCTGCGCCCGGCTGAAAAATGGCCGACACCGCAACGATCCCCCTCGCGTTTATTCCGGGATCCAACGCGCCGCGACCGGCATAAAATTAGCCTCGGCTTCATCCGGTTCTCACGTGCCTTTTCCTCATTTTAGTCGGGGGGTGAAATGTGGCACGGTGTTTAATTAAAATCATATTTCTGTTTGGCGCTTGTCTTTTGTGAATTTAGCTATTGCCGACTAACGTCACAATACCGTACTCCCTGCGATATACCTGATTACCGGATATTGGTCAAATTGTCGACGAAAAATCTCAGTTTCCCCTGTGCTGGCCACACGACACTTCCGCCCCTTTTCTTTAGCTTTGTATCGTGCGATCGATACCATGCCAGGGCTCAAATCCAAGGAATTACACTTCTGATTCTGGCCAGCTAACTGTAAAACAAATTCGCCCTTTCGGTCACACTGCTATGTTGTTGCACGGCCCTTAGACGCTGCAGCCCTAGACAATACATTGATATCGTTAGTCACCACTGAATTGCGTGGCATTCCTCTCAACATTGCAACCCTACCCTGAATTCAGCTATGCGCATTCCACTCTTCGTCACTTTCTTGTTTTTCTGTTCAGAGTCAAAGTATCTTTCAGGTAGAAGCGGTACGGCCGTTATGATACGCAGACAAACTGGGCGTAGGCGGTTCATCTAGACGCACGAAATCGGAGAGCAGGGTAGGATTTTGGATAAATTGTGTCACCACTGAATTCCGCTTAGGGATCAATGCACAAAAAGTCCGGGAACTTGGAGGGGAACTCAGCCAGCCAGCCGGGGTCCTCCCGCACTGACACTTCGTCTTCTATCGGAACAGCTCCCCCTGGCTGTTGGGGAAAGTTCTGTGACTCAGCGCGCGAGCGGGTGGGAAAATTTTGTGATTTTGAAAACATTTTCTGTTTAGTGGGAGCACTTCATCCGCCTTGTCGGATAATCAGGATCCATCATCTCCTCGTACCAAAGTCAGCACCACGACGGCGACTTCTGCAGCCACGTCTGGCCGCAGCTCTGGCAATGCGGGCCAATTGGAGGAACGGAAACGCTCCCAGCAGGTAAAGCCAATTCCGATCGCTCAACTGTGCTTTAGCTGCTGGGGCCAGACGTCTTCTTCCGAAAATTCCGGCAGATTGTCAGCCAGAATCGGCGCCGCTACCAAAATGACGGATATGATTTGGACCTGACTTGTGAGTTGAATGCCTTACTTTTTAAAGCTTCTTTAGATATCACTGACCGAATCATTGCTATGGGCTATCCAGCGTCCGATCGTGAATCGGTTTATCGGAACAGCATGGAACAGACGGTCAGCTTTCTCGAGCGTCGCCATCGCGGCCACTACAAAGTCTTCAACCTGTAGGTATTTTGCTGAGTATCGGATCAGAGCCTGCCTGGCTTTTGGCGGTTTCCACGTCGTTAATGCTGATTTTTTAGTCGTGGATCTTACGTCTACGACCCGGCCCTCTTTGAACATCGTGTGGTCTGCTTTGAAATGACTGACCATCACCCGCCGCGTCTCGAGCTCATGGCTCCATTCTGTCGCGAAGTAATTCGTATATTACGTTCCGAATGCGTTTGTTTAGGTGCACAACTATCTGCAAGAGGACAAGCGCAATATTGTGGCCGTTCATTGCAAGGCAGGCAAGGGCCGGACAGGTGTTATGATCTGTGCCTATCTGGTCTACATCGGCTTTTACTTGTCGCCGCGCCAGAACATGGACTATTATTCAGTGGTCCGGACGATGAACAACAAGGTTAGTCGGGTTGTTGTTACAGAAATAGGATGTTTTTCAGGGTGTGACCATCCCCTCGCAGCGTCGTTACGTCTACTACTTTGCGCACCTGCGAAAATTCCATTTGAACTACATCCCGCTGCGCGTCGAGCTGGTCGGCGTCTACGTCGAGCGTCCGCCGTGTATCAGTGGTAGCCTGTCGCCGAGCTGTTCTGATTTCGAAATTTAGGATCGTTAACAAAGGGTGATTTCTCGCTGCGGGTGTGTAACGGTGACGTTGATGTGTATCACGGGGAATGGTATACGTACACTAAAGAGGTGTGTTTTCCTTACATTTTTAGGGCGGGCCCCGTTTGTGGATTTTAAAGTCCTTACCTCTATTTTTAGAGCTGGGAGGATGAGGACAAGAAATGGGGCAATCCGACTCGATGCTCTCGTGGCCCGGATTCTTATGATCCCTGCAACCCGGTCCGTGGCAATGATGTGATTTCTAGGTATGATTTATCTTGGAAGTTTTGACGCCGAATTCAGGAGAGCTTACGGCTGGACCGTACCTTCCAACAAACGGGTATTCCTGGAAGGCGATGTGCGCATGGATCTCTACCACAGCAAGAAAGTCAAGTTGCTCAACGTTGGAAGCAAGGATCGGTCAAAGGTATCATATTTCTCTTTATTTCTAACGACTTTGTTTAGGTTGGACACGTCTGGTGGAACACGATGTTTGCTTGTCCGCAGTTTTGCGGTGGCTTCTATAAACATGGCGATGAAGCGTTCCCATATCCACCCGGTAGGACCTATTTGTTTTCTTGCAACGAAATTTAGGTGAGACTACAATTGCTTCTCGGGTTCTTTCCACAAATCCTCCTCCACCTCCACCTCCGCCTCCGCCACAGCAAGGCGTTCGCCCGAAGAGTGGAAGCGCTTCTGTCCCGAATAGTCCACCGTTGTCACCTAAAACGGTACGTTGCTTTGAGATGCCTACGAGGTCTCGTGTTCCAGGAACGTTCTTCTACCGCAACTCGGGCCCCATCTTTCGATGCGCGCAAAAACAAAGCATCGAGTGCCAATCGGCTTCACAACGCCGTCAAGAAACGTTGGGACATATTTTTTTCATTCAGCTTATTTTAGTGGCCGAAGGTGTCGTCTCGCGGAATAGCGAGCCTAACATCGATCGACCATCGTCATCGGGAAAGCGCGACGGCTCGAGTAGCGATCCGACGAGGAGGGGAGATGGCTCCAGCTTCGACATTCACTTGATCTCACCACCGGGACAAGACCTCCATTGTCCGACCGACTCCCTTGAGGCGATTTACGGGGACAAGGAGTGGGTTTCAATGTATGTCGTTGTCGCTTTTTAACTTTGCATACGTGTTTCTCTTCACTTGTGCAGTTTTCATTATGTTCCTTAGACCACCACGAATCGAGATCGAGCGCATTCTCCGGGAAGCTCACCTTCGCGAACTCGTGGCCGATCAGTACAACGAACGCCGTCTCTCTGTTCCTCAAGGTGAATTTCAGCTGTCATTTCCCGATTTTGTTTTTATTTATTATTTTTTTTGTTGCGCTTGATATGTTGAGTTTCAGATGGAACTCCAGTGGAGAAGGCCCCAGACGGTCGCCCAGGCACGAGCACCGGTTTTGGTCCGTTCTGCATTACGCGTGAAGCGGAGGAACACGTGCAAATCTACAACGTGTTGGAAGTCGACCGTGCGTATAAGAAGAAGGATATCGACCCCGGCTTCCGTTTGATCGTCGTCACTCGGTGTGTTCCCGTTGGCGGATCCGATGCCGAACTGGCGAAGGAGTTCATGCGCGTCACACATGAAAAACAGCAGGCCAAGGACGAAAAGAAGTTTGCACAGGTAATCTTGTATCCTTCCGCTCATTGTGTGATTCAGATTGCTGCACGCCAAAAGAAGCTTTCCGAGAAAATGGGCGAGTCCGAGGAGGCTGTGAAACGTTCGATGATCAATCAGGACAACTTTATGTATGCTACTTTTCATGTTTTATTTTTAATTTCTCTTTAGTGACGAAGAGCAGTGGCAGCACGACGATCGCTTCCAGGACCCGTTGCAAAAGAAATATTTCTATCGTCAGCGCATCGACTCCTTCAGTCGTTATCCTCTCGGCAACTACAGGTTACCTAGCTCCTAATTTTCTACCGTCATCTTTAGATGCCCTCTGTTGACTCAATTCTCAACGTCTCCGCCTCGTATGACACCACCAGCTGCCACTTCACCGGTAGATTTTTTCGCCATTGCAATTTCACTCGACACGCACTCATTAGTATTTCGGAGAAATTATTGAGATTGAGCAACTGTGTTCTCTGAATTATCTTCTTTTCTAGCTCTCGGCCAACAATCCGCGTGCAAACCAGGACATGGACGTCCGCAGCTATCATCCGGACGACGGTCAGTGGCGTGAAAAATCTGACATTTCAACGTCAAGTGACGAGGTGATTTTTGTTCGACCCTCTTCAAACAGTCTCTTTTAGGAGAGTGACCACGACGCCTCACAAGCCACTATTCGCCCTCCCAGCAACTTCGATGATGAGTGCAAGAATAGCAAGCCCTCCACCTCCTCGCGGGACGCCTGATCCTCCACGCTTTGATGCGCCGATCCGTGAACACCATTACTCTAGGCACGATTATTTATTGGAGCTGTCGGTTGGCTATGTTCTAGACGGGTCTCTAGTTGGTAGTTGGATTTCAAGAATTATCTGAACGTTTGCCCTGCAGCCCAATGTCCGCGATTCTCAATCCCTATCCACTTGATGAACATTTACTTGTTGCTTCGCAAAGATAATTTGTGCTGATCCCCAGGGCTAAACAGACATCGACATTCTATGAAGTTTTTGACGCCCCTTCCTAGATATCCAATTCCCCCTCTTTCGTTACGAGCTTATCGGCCTCCATTCACCCCGAACCCCAAAGTCCTCCACCATGCTGTGTTGAAAAGTTGTTGTGTTTGCAAAGATTCTGGTCGTCATTTCCGCGCACGGCACCCTGGCACAATCGTTTTGCAATGCTCATTGCCAGGCTGCCATTTTTAACTTTGGAAATCATGGTCTGGGGACTTCCCGCGCCCTGGTTTTCATTATTTATGAACTGTCCCCTGGCGAACTTCAAGAAGCGCTAGGTTGGATTTGGCTGCTCGGGGATTGATGTTGCCACAAAAAGACTATCACTGGTTTTAGGATGCTTGTATCCGCTGACCGAAAATTCTATTCTCACCTGCGGCTTTATCCCTTTTCAGCCCCATCCACCTCGGCCTTCTTTTGCTGTACCGTTGCTTTCATCCTCCCCTACCCCATCATTTTGATATGCTGTGTATTTTCCCCCGTTGCTGTGTTAGCATATATCAAATTGTCGCCACCCCTTCCCCGTTTTACTGTGTCTGCCCCCGGTTTCCACCCTCTCCCTGTGTATCTTCGATGAATTCCTGCGTTCTGGCGCTCCTCTCGCCCAAGTCGACCGTTTTTACGGCGGCGGCCACTGGGCCCACCTGGGTATCGTTTTTAGAATAAATGGTGCGCGTTAACATTTGGTAGCTAACAGCAAGTATCTGCAACGACAATTACATCGTGTGGATTCAGATTCGAAGGCGCGATGCTGGCGGTCATCCGGATAAGTTCAAACGTAGTCATGGGGTCCGCAGCCCCCAATCAACCGCAGACGTGCCCGGAAGTTGGCGATCGCGTGGGGGGTGCGAAAGAAAGCTCCCGCGTCTCCATCAATCCGTGCCATTTGCAAGGCGCTGAGAGTGAGCGGCTTGTGGTGAACACTACTTGTCTATGGGCTTTCCGGCTCGGCTCTCGACGCGATTAGATTGTCGTGTGCCGGATGGCGGGGAGGAAGGGGGGAGGGTTCTCAGAGGGGGAGGAGTGTGAAATTGCCCTCTGAGACCCCATCCATCCGCCGGCCGACA